CATCAACGTCATCATCGATCTGGACTTTGTTTATGAACAGTGCACAGCACAAGTGTACCGTATACACTCAATATGAGTATCTCTATTGTCCATATCGGTGTCCGAGATGAGTAACCCCCAGTCGCCTTGTCATTCCTCGGTTCGCGCCTGTGTTGCCAGGCCAAATTTCAATTCAAGTCATTGCTTTCTTCGCATTCGGCTTTCGTGTTGCCAATTTACCTTTTTGGCACTGTTAACCTTCAATTGCACACATCACTCAATGTGAGCGACGCGAACGCACGACTTCAATTTCCAAATGGCCAAATTGGGCAGACGCCTATTACTACAAAAAAAAAAAAAAAAAAAACTAAAAAAAAAAAGCCGCTCATTAGAGGCTAGTCAACTGGCGACGACGACACAAAAACTCGCCTGACTATGTGCCATAAAAATTTAATAATGATAAATAAACTTTGTAAGGCGCCCACACAATTTGGCAGGCGGTTGCACACACAGCAACGAGCCAAATTGGCCTTGGCCAGAGTGGTTTTCTATGAGGTGATATGTGGAATATACGAGCCAAGGATCAGCTCGTTTGACAACGTTTTGTGGGCACTCCAAACATTATGCAATTAAAGAGAAGGTTACAAGTATTAGGAAATGGTACTATCGCTGTAAAAAACTTCAGGTTTTAACTTGGTTTCAGTTAAACGATTCCTAAAATGTACAAAAAACTGTTTCCTTAGTTTTTGTGAGATTTTTAAACCATAAATAAGGGAAACAAGTAGTTTTATTTGTGATTTAAATAAACTTAAGATCCCTTTGAGACAACAAAAGAACCATTACACAAGTAAATGTCAGGTTACATTAATAGAAAATGATATACCCAGTACTTAACCATCATTATTTCACTTGGCTATAAGCAAACGCTCCCTAGAAACTCCTCAACTCAAAGTGGTTTAGGTTTAGGCGCATCTAACGATGGCTCCAAACGATCCCTCTTCCCATTAAAAACTTGTCCCAGCCTTAGACACAATTCTTGGCCCCTGACATTTCCGCTGTTTGTATTACCTTTGAGAAACCACAACGAACCACACAATAAACGACACTTGAAACGAGCCAACGAAGCGCACAAATTGTGGCTCAAAATTAATAAAAGCAGCCCCCGAAAGTGAAATAAAAACAGAATTCATTTTAATTACAAATTACAAGAGACACACAGCAGCAAGAGGCAACAAGCAGCAGATGGAACTGAGCTCCAAAGAAGCGCCACAATAAAAACAGACAACCAGAGACACTCAGCGTGAGGTTCAAAGCCTTGGGAGGTGGAGAGATCCATCCGGATGACAACTGACCGACAACGACCGGGAGGTTCCACAGATGCCTCTAACCCCGGCCGAAGTCAACAACATCAACATCAAAGTAAATGCGAGGAGGTCAAGCGTTAAGTCATAAAAAAGGGCCCCCTAAAACATAAAATATGATGGGAGGAAAGGGGAAAAATGGGGAAATGCGAGTATGTATAACATCACAACTTGCTGCTGCTGCTGCCTCATCGTGGAAAGCCGCCAGAGATAAATGTTAATCATCGGAGGCAGAGTCATCAACGTCATCGTTGTCATTGCGATTGTGTTTCCCCTTTTCCCTACTCTTACACAGAAAGAATTGACACCTTTTGGTTTTAAATTGAACTTGCAATTGGAAATAATATTAAGACAAACTGAAAATAATAATCTAAGAACTATTTAACTCTTGTCACGTTTTTGTGGAATATCATATATTATAACAATAGTTTCAAGAGCGATTAAGTACTAGAAAAATGTATTTTTTTCATTTACGAAGAATTCAAAATCGACTTGATTTCTTTCTGTGCATAAGCAGTACAAGAAGGCTTCGACCTGAATAAAAAGTATTTTAGAATGCGCTAATTACATAAAATCGTTGGTTCCTTGAAAGTGGCAAACAAAGTTGTTGGGACAATACCTCCACTCTTGGTTAATTTGTGCCTCTGGCCTGGCCTTTGGGCTAATTAACATTGTTCCTCGCCATATATTTTCAATTGAAAAATATTTCGCTTTAATTGTGGCTTAGAGACTCCGGCTCGAATATATGTATTAGAAAAATGATTTCAAGACACGACGAGCTGCCGCCGCCGCCAACTAATTGTCAACATCGCGTTAGCTTGGCCAGCAGAGAACCAGCTAGAAAAGTTCCAACTTGAGAGCGATCTTTGGCTCGTTCAATTGCAACCAGTTTTGGACTGGCCCAAAGGGGGAGTTCGGTGGAAACTTGGCCACAAAACTGGAGAACAAGACAACAACACGGCACAACCGGCTTTTAATTAATTACCTTTTTTGGCCAAACTATTTATTGTTGTGTTACAGAACCAAGTAGAATCCATGTTAACTAGATCTCGCTGTTCGGTTCGTTTCAGTTCCTCAAGTTCAACGAAATCTCAATTGCGTGTGGTCTTGGGCTGTGAGTAATTCCCCTCTATCTGTAAGTGTCATTGATATACCCCCATATTCCGAGAGAATATCGGGAGTGAGTCATCTCTCTGTGGTATGATCGATTTACAAACTCGCCGTCTTGTGTCGTAGAAAATGAAATTTAGGTTATGCGCTAAACATTTCAATTAAGTGGAAAAGTATTACGCCAATTTCGGTCGGAGGGGCGGAGGAGGTTCCGGAGGTTCGTTCGTGTAGAAATCGCAACGACCAACAAAATGGAAAGCTCCCAGAAGCAGCAGCAACAACAAAAGCGAAACTCTGTGAGTGTAATTGAAACTGAGCACGATGACGATGTGGAAGTATTATTATTAAGCATGCAAAGCATATAATGAAGTGGAAATATGAAACCGGGGACCAGAGGGAGAAGAATGCAGCGGTCAAGGAGGGTGTATCGCTCGGCGGGGTAAAAAGGTGACACAGCTAATGTGCTATAATGATGCGATAATCAAAGATGATTATAGGAAACGAATAGCTTTCATTCTCCAATCATCACTAGACGGACGTGGATTTCTATGCAGTTTCAAGCTACATTCTGTCATCTTCGGAAGAGGAGAAAAAACAGCAACTGTGAAGCATAGAGAATCGTAAGAGAGAATGGAAATGAAATCAATTATGGACTGTTAGTAAAAGTAAGGCCCCTCCTGAAGGGTTTTAAATATAAAATTATCATAGGAACTATTTTAAAGGTTCATATATCTGAAGGAGGAAGTAATGCAATTTTAAACATACATATTCAATATCGTCAATGTAAGTTCCCTATTTAAGATGCTTAATTTCCCTACAAATTATGGTCTTCAGAGAATCCCAAACTACATAAAGGTAAGAAGCAGCTGCCTAAAATCGAGTTATAAATGTGCCTTGCCATAATATGTGATAATTGACCGATAATCAAAGGAAGTGAATAACTTTCGTTCTTCAATCATTTGCAGAAACGTGTTTTAATTCATTTTTAACCAATATGTTGCCCCCTTCCCCAAGGCCAAAGAGGGGCGAAGGAAGATCGCTGCACAAAGGAAGTGGGAACAGCAGAGGAGGGAAGAAGTGGAGACCCCGACAAAGACACAAGCGCATGCGAAAACAATTGAAGCGTGCAAAAAGGGGGGAGAAAAAAAAACAGGGAAGAAAAGGCACGGGCAAAAGCAAGAGTTTTATGGCCCAAGAAAAAGAACCGAAAACCGCACAGAGACTGAGCGAAAAAAAAAGCGAAGAAGGGAAACTCTGGCGATGGGAAACGGAAATCAAAAGCGGCAAAACAATGTTGTTGCAGCTTTGCATATAATTTATGGGCGAGCGTAGCAAAAGCGGCTTATGAGTTGCGAGATTGAAATTGTTTAGGTGGAAAATGAGATTCAAAGCGAGGCAGCAGCAGAAACAGCAGCAGTGAACGTGTGTGCGTGTGCAGGTGTGAAATTGAGATCACGGCGGATGGAGATACAACCAACCCTTTTTTCTGTTCTTTGCGTGTTTTTTTTCTGTAGCTTGTGGTTATTCATAATTCTCCGCTTCTGTTGCTGTTTTTCACGTTCACAAGTTAACGAAAAACAAGGCGACAAAAAGACAAAACAGGAAATGTAAACCACGAAAAACAACCGCAAGTTTTGTACTCGTTCGCCGTCTCCGCTCGCGCTCTTTGCCTTCCTTCCTCTCGCCCGTAGGAGATAGGCAAGTGGGCGAGAGAGTGTCATTCATGAGTTTGACCTTTTACCGATATATAAGCCATTAATCGATGCTGCTCCTTTCGCTTGTTGCTGCCCTGATAATCATTCATAAAACAGACACTTTTGCCAATGTGTTCGTATAGAGAAAAGTACACCGAATCCGAAAATTCCATTCATGAAAAAACCCACACATTGTTGCTGGATCTCTCGCGGCGGGTGCCAGTATGTGTGTATGAGCATGCGCTGGAGCGTCGCACACACACACATGGCTGAATCTCGATTCATTCACAAAAAGAGGGGCACATGCAAACGGTGGGGACTGGCGGGGGCGAGGTGGATGCCGTAACATTCAGCTTGCTTTTTAGTCGGGTGGCAAGTTGCCATTGCTGCTTTTCCAGAAGCAGCAGCAGCAACAGTAACAACAAATGCAATTGCACTGCTGCTGCACGAAAAAACATTAGGCGACAAAAAAAAGTAAGAGAAACACATGCACACACACAGGCAACCACACGCGAGTGGGAACGGGATAGCACGTTGATACACTCGCACTCAAAATGCATTTTCAGCACCAAAAACATTGTTTTTTGGACAACTTTTGGCTTTTCTGGTGCTCAGACCACACAAACAAAGATATGTCACTATTTAGCACACTGCTCTCAGGCGCTTTGTCGTGTTTTAATTATGTTTTCTCCACAAGAGAGACTCCGCGGGGCGACGGCGACGCTGTCAACATTCCAGCACACACTGCACCACGAAAAACGGCCGTTGCGCCCGTACTTTCACAACCCGCTCATGTCCGGCATGTTCTTCTACATTTTGGCAGTGTTTTCCTTCGATTTCGCACTAATTTACATACCAATTTTCACTTTTAATTGCTCTTCAATGCGCACTTCGCGTGTATCGGCCATTTTGTTGTTGTTGCTGCTTGGCTCGACGGCAGCGACGAGCGAGTCAGTGTTGCCGTCCCGCTCGTCGTACATATAGCGCTTCTTCTTCAGCAGCATTGTATGCTCGCGTTCATAGCAGGCAGCTTGTTTCCGGGACTCTCGGTGATACGTGCAACTCGCGATTGGAAAATATGTTTTGGCTGGTCAGTTTTTAAGGAATTAACGAAATTAAGTTTGCTTGCTCGGTATTTATTAACCACTTGTTGCTTATAATATATTTAGTCGAACTGCAGCGTTGCACGGGACGCGAAAACGAGTCGGCTCACAGACGGAATGCACTTTTCTTGTTGCTTGTGTTTCGGCTGACAGAAGGCTCACTAAACTGGTTAATCACACACTGAAACACGTATGATTTTCGAAAATTTGTTTATTATATTGTATTATTTTTTAACGATCATATTATTTTCCCCAAGTCGGCGAAAATGTACGCGTCCGCGGAACAACCTTTCAAAGCAAAATTTCAAACCAGAGTGACCGTCTCGGGGAACAAAAATATTGGCTGGAACTATCCAGTGTGGCCAGCTCTTCGCGGCATAAAAACGCTGCGAAAAGCTAGTTTTTTTGTTATCCACTGGCAACGGTGTTTGCATTAAACGAAAAGTATGGCAGCACTAGTTGTTCAGACCTCGACACTCAAAAGTGTGGCAGTGCTGGTCGTTCTTAATTTAAAAAATTATTAATTATTTTTTAATAATCTTTATCCCGGACTCTGCTTTGATTTGAATGTAACTTTAATAAATTCACTTTATTTCGTTATACCAATATCGTTATTTTTCACAATTTACTTTGATATTACTCTTGTATTTATTGTGCTTTGTTTTCGAATTAACTTTGATAATTTCACTTGCTTATAACTTTATAGATTTTTATTAATTTTCCAGTTTTGTATTTTTATTTTTGGATTTTTTTTGGATTTTTATTTAAATTCAATAATTTCACTTCGCTACCTTTGAATTTAAAGTCGTTAAAACACACTCTGTAATATCTTGCAAGAGCCGCCGCCGAAACGAAAATGAATTAAAATTTCCCAGCGGCAAGTGTACGCGCCTCCAAAAATGTGAATGAAAACACACACAGCTGCAGACGATCACCTCTACACGCAGACAGACACATGTTGCACCGGCGCCAGCAGCGGCAGCGGAAGCAGCGAACCGAAAAGCGGCGACAGAGAAAGTTACAGGCATATGCGGCACATGGAGTGCGGTACGAAACGTATAAACGTTTAAAACCATCGGCGTACTGATATACCCTACTGACATATGAGTAGGGCACATTACGTGGGCGTTTTGGCTCACAGACAGAGGAAGCGGCCAAATTACACATACAAACATACGTACATATATTACGATTCCGAAAAAATCAAGTAAAATGTGAAATTCAACACGAAGCCGGCAGGGAGGCAGAGACAGCGATGTTGTTGTTTGTTTATCGCATATTGCGCTTCCCTTTTTCATCTTCTTCTGGAAACCACATGCATCACAACAACAACAAGTGAGACGATGCATCTTATCACATGCCGCCAATAAGTGGAAGTGGTTGTTGTTGTTGGGTCAACATTTGTACAGTGCGTTTCTGTAGGTCCTGCCTCCTTTTCATTGCTTCCGTATGCCGTACATCTGATCTGGCGAACATTTTCCACACTCTAAATGCACAGGAAGAAACGAAGGGAGTAGTTCTTGAGAGAGATAATTATATGGTAATTCTTAAATAAATATTAAAGCAACGTAAATTATTTTAAACATTTTTTTCAGGTATTGCTATAAAATTTAAAACTATGTGATATTTCTTTAAAATTGCATTTGTATAAAATATATTATTTATGTATAAACATAAAAAAGGATTATTTTAAACGTAGCTAGAGGTTATTACCACCCATATCTACATACATATATTGAAAGTTCTCTTTATTAATTTAATTTTTTATTAAGTTTTTGTAGTTGTGTAAAGTAACAACAATTTAAATATGTTGATAATTTCGCTCAACGAAATGTAACCGACAGACGTGGGAAGAACAGGAGGCACTTCTTCTATTTTTCCAACTCCATCTGTCCACCTGTCCACTTTTCCCCTGCTCTCCTCGATCTCCGCCTCCCACGAATTTCAGTGCAAAGTGCATTTATGATAAAAATAGTATATTATTGTGACGGTTTCATTCGTTTGAATGAGTTTACGGGTTTCGGTTTCGGTTTTGGGTTTTTATACCCTTGCAGGGTATTATAATTTCAGTCAGAAGTTTGCAACGCAGTGAAGGAGACGTTTCCGACCCTATAAAGTATATATATTCTTGATCAGCATCAACAGCCGAGTCGATCTAGCCATGTCCGTCTGTCCGTCTGTCCGTCTGTCCGTCTGTCCGTTTCTACGCAAACTAGTCCCTCAGTTTTAAAGCTATCTCAATGATATATAGTCTTCTATATGCTCTCACTGCTATATATGTCGAAACGGGCCGGATCGGACGACTATATCATATAGCTGCCATACAAATGTTCGATATATTTTTAGAAAAAAAATTATAACTTTGCTGTTTTTCAACATTTTTGCACCATTTTTTAGATATGGCCATTTTATATTATTTCTGAATTTTGGTATAAATTTTATGAAAATCGGACGACTATATCATATAGCTGCCATAGGAACGATCGGGAAATTAATAGAAAAAAAATTATATATTCGTTGTTTTTCAACGTATTTTCATCTACTCCGGGATATAAGCTTATTTTATTATTCTAGAATTTTGGTATAAATTTGAAAAACATCGGACAACTATATCATATAGCTGCCATATAAACCGATCGGTAGATGTATACAAAATGTAAAGCTGGGAATGCAAAACTGTAACTGTCAAACTGTAAACATAATAAGTATAGGTAAAATGTAATGAAATAATATCTGCAAGGGTATACAAAATTTGGCTGGCCAAAGTTAGCTTTCTATCTTGTTTTTTATTTCATTTTACTATTTAATTCCTCATACCACTTGCAGTATTGTTTATTTACGGCCGGGGAAGTGTTTTGGTCATTTGTCTAGCTTCCGTTATTATTTCGTGTTTGTGCTCTCGACCTGTGAATGAAAATTTATACCCTCTACCCCGGCTTTTGATCTATCTAATTTATAACATTTATTTTCTATTGACTTGTTTTTAACATCCATAATATGGGTCCATAAACTTGCTTCACTATGATGATCGTCGTGGGCATCTTTCTGTAAAGGCCGATGTTTGGGTTTATCTACCGCCTTTTAATGGGGAGTTTACACATAAATACACATAAAATAGCTCCTAACGTGGGTTTTCTTAATCTGTTTCCGAATACATTTTCCCGCTAAGAGGAAAATGCTGTTAAAGACTTTTGCGGAAGGGCTTTCGATTTTTGATTGAATTTATGGATTTTTAAAGTTATACTAATGATGGGCAATTAGTGAAAACATAGTGGCTAGTTTTGGAGAATAATGATTTACGGACTTGCAATGGAATTAACATAATGTATAAGTGAGGTATCATATCTCAAGATTTGGGTAAAGTTTAGGAAAAAATAATGTATATTGAACATAATCCGACAGGCCTTTAAATATAATATTATAGACAAATGAAATATATCTTTAGAATGATCTGTAAAAATATTCTTAAAGTTTATGTAAAATTTAGTTATCGCATTTAAGAATAATATTCTTGGTACCTTCTTTGGACGTGCTGAAAGTCAAACCTTTAAATAAGGGATATATAAATAATATATAAGAATAAAACCCTAAAAAATCCGTAGGATATAACTTTTCCCCAGCTATTCCCCTATTCCCGTTTCTTATAAAATCCTCTTGGTTGTTTATATAGTTATAGATTTCGGCTTGATCTGCAGATTAAGTCAAATGGCCGTTTGGGTTTTCTTTTATTGTTCAGAGGATGTTTACACGCATATGTTTTTGTTTTGTAGTATACAATAGACACTTAACAATTTCATTTATTGTAGTCATTTAGTTAAATGTAAAGTAGCATTTTGTTTTTGTTTTTCTCTTGTTAGGTGTTCACTTGAGTCGCGATTGCATCTTTATTACATAACTTGAATTTGTTTTTGGCGCGCTAAACGTAAAGCTTAAAATGTAATCATGTTTGTGGTTTGTTTTTGCGTAAACAATGAAACTTATATGAAATACTTAATAAAAAAGATCGCATGAAACAATGTGTATGTGTTTTGTTTTGTTTTGTGGGTGTGTGTGCTTGTGTGTGTTTGTGTGAGAGCGTTGGTCGTTTTTGTGGCAGCTTGATGGGATTCGGGATGTTATCCAGGATCTCTTTCGAGCCGCTTGCACGATGCCAACTCCAGCTCAACGGCAGCCAAATTAGGAAACGATAAACAAACTGCAAAGAGACAAGAATCTGCATTATATTAGATAGTCTGGACTATAACAGAACATTTTAAAAATGTAAATAACTTTATTCTGAAGTTTTCGATGTATTGCTTAGGTTAAATTACATTTTCTAGGCTTTAAAGGTATTTCTAAAGCGCAATTAAGTAAAGGGTAAAGTTAAATGAGTTCTTAAAACATAGAAAATTTAAAATAATATATATTTTATACAATAAATTATAAATAAAGTCGTATACATAGTAAACTGTAACAGTACTTAAATGTCCAAAAAAGGCGAGACCTTATCAACATTTAAAATAAAATGAAAATAAAGTCAAAGTAAAAGTTGCTTTGATTAATATAACATTTAAATTTCAACAAAAGCCAAGACTTGACGAATCGTTCAGCAAATACTCGTTTTTTTTTAACGAAATAATCTGGTGAGTCAGAAATCTCGGTCTGTTTACCCAAAGTCTTATGACGCACCGCACGCGGCCAAAGTTTCTTCTATCGGCTCCAATATTTTTACGAAAGATTAGGTACTCTCTCGTATATGCAAATACATAACACAAATAAACCGATGTCATGGCTATCAGGGGGTCTGTTTCCGGAAAATATTCCATTTACGATTGGGATTATCTTTTATGATGAGAAGTGAATGTAAAATGTCGAAATAGTATTGTTATCTGTCAATGATATCATTCTTCACAATCTAAACACTGTTTTGCTATGCTTTTATAATCATAAGAGACCAGATTGAAGATATTAAAAGGGGAGGGTTTGCCACTTGATTTACTTCAAAAATATAAACTTTAGCTTTAAATTATTTGTTTTACTCACTTTTTTCTCAACTCATCAAACAAAATTTGAGCACGCCTCGGGATAGTCTTCCTCATGGCGTCCGGCATCCTTTCCGTTCCATACCATTCCCCTCCGCCTACTTGTTATTGATGGACAACCGCTCGACGCTGGCTAGCAGCTCATCGGCGGTCTGGGACACGACCTGCTCCTGATCGTCGCTGGTGCTTAGGTTTTGCAAACGCTTCTCCAGCGCCGAGAGATCCTCCAGCTCGCGCTGCTGCTTCACCATGTAGCGCAAGATCAGCGTGGTCAGCATGCACATGTCCTCGAGAATCTTGGCCGTCTCCGGCGTGGGATGATCATAGCGATTGCGCAGCAATCTCAGCTTGGCCTCGGCCAGCTCCAGCGGTGACTTGTTACTGCGATCGTACATGTGGACACTGGCACCGCCCTGGAGCAGGACGCCGACCACGATGTTGAAGTTGTTGGAGCTGGCCGATATCACGGCCAAATGCAGCGGGGTGTTGCCCAGGGAGTCGACCACATTGGGATTGGCGCCGTACTTGAGCAGCTGCTGGACGATGGGTATGTAGCCGCGACAGGCGGCCAAGTGCAGGGGACTGCGATTGTACTCGTCGGCGGCATTGGGATTGGCGCCCGCCTCCAAGATGCGGTTGAGCAGCTCAATGTTGCAGGTGGAGGCGGCGGTGCGCAGCTTGCGGCCGTTCGACTGGGTGAGGATGTTGCTGTAGCTGCAGTATTGCTTCAAACGCTGCATTCGCGGACGCATCTTGAAGCTCTTGCTGCCCGAGGGCAAAGTGCTCGGATGGATCAGGCTGGGCAGATACTCGGCATTTGGGGCGTTGGGGTTCAGCGGCAGCGGCGGCAGGTGCGGCAGCGCAAAGTGCTCGCCCCGGTCTCTGGTCAGCTGGAATGCATTCGTGCTCGGATTGCCGGCGCTCGCACTGGGGTTCACGTTCACATTCATGTTCATGTTCAGATTGAGGTTTAGGTTCAGGTTGAAGTTCATGTGAGGCCACTCGCCGTGCGTGTTGGGTGACGAGGTGGGCGTGGGCGGCATCACCGGCGGCGGCGGCGTGATCATGATGCCCTTGGACGCGGGCATGGGCATTGGCATGGAGCGTGTAAGGGCCATGGACACGGGTGACATCTCCACCTCCTCCTTGGCCGCCTCCACGCCGGAGGTGGAGGAATCGTTGTTGGTGGCCGCAGCCATTTGTTCCGTCTCGACTCGTCTCGCGTCTCTCGACTCGCTTTTGTGCGTCGCTCCTCCTTGTTCTGTTCCCCGCTAACAGTTTTCCCTTTTCCGAGCCTCTATGGTGATGAAAAATTCTCTGCCAGGCACGCGCTGCTTATTTTCCTGTCTGTATTGTTTGTATTTTTCTCTATTTTTTTCCTGTTTACATTTTGCCCCCTATCGATAGGCCTGATGTGCTAACTATCGATTGACCTCGGGCGATAGCTGGACGACTTTGCAGCCCTGGAGGAAATAAAAAATAAATACAAAGAAGGCGAAATAATTAATTATTAATCTAAGAACTAAGAACTAATCTTTTAAAATTGTTTCTATTTACATTGCTTAATTTATTCAAAAATTAAATTCTGAAAGTCATTAAGACTTTTCGTAATAAAATTTTTTTAAAATTTTTTAATACATAAATACAGCTGTGTTCACGGAAATAGCAGTGCGACAGAGGAACAACTTCAAAACGTTTTTTTGTACATATTCCTTTTTGCAAGCTGATCTATTGCACATTGTTTTTGTAAAATGGAACATAAAGATAAGAATCGAGAAAAAATTCCGTTAGATTTGCTCTACTTTTATGTTTTATTGATATTTTTTCACATATGCAGCTCGTTTTGGCCGATCACTGAAATAGCAGTTTTTAATTTTCTTTCGCAAAAAGTGCCGAAATTTCTTTTAATTTTGTAAAAAATGACTTTAATTAAGGTCGTTATTATAGTTTATACTATAATACACCTTTACAACGCAAAAAAAATTATTTTAGTGGGCGCAGGACCTCACTGCTCCATGAGAGAAAGATATCAGATAATTTAGCCTAGAAAGAAAGGCAAAACATGTAAAGAGTCTCTAAATCTTTCAAATTGTTCTTTTAAAATAGTTTATAAGTCATAAAATATGAACCGAACCCAAAAAAAACGGGGTACGATTCGCAAAACCCCAATTGTACAGGCTCGACGCGTACTTCGCTTCAGCAAAGCTCGTCCTTTTGCATCCTCTAGGGATATATGAGCGGGAATTGGCATGGGAATCAGTCATGGGACCATTCGCCGGGGACTTATTGAATAAATTTTAGATTCGCGAAGTCCATGGAAAATGTCACTGCTTGGTTATAGGCATATCAAGGCCAGATTGGAGTTCGCCAATAGCCCCTTGAACTCAAATGGCGTAATATCCTTTGGACAAATGACTCCAAACTGGTTTTATTTGGTGGAATAGGACAAGACAATATGTCCGTTGACCTCCAAAAACATAGTACCCCCCCAAACCATACGCTGAAGACAGTAAAACACGGTGGCCTAAAAATCATGGTATGGGTATACTTTTCATACAACGTTGTAGGTCCCGTATATATGATCGGTGGGATCAAAGACCATTATGTTTATGTCTAAATATTAAAAACTGTCTTACAGTCGTATCCTGATGAAAATATGCCATTAATTTGGACATTTCAGCAGTACAGTGACCCTAATCATACCATCAAGGTGGCCAAGGAGTGGGTTCTTAATGAAAAAGTGGATGCAATGCCATTGCCTGCACAGTCCCCGGATATAAATCCGATCGAAAACTTATGGGGGACATCAAGGGCTACGTATTAAAGAAGTTTCCGACTTCTAAGCCGCAGCTTTGGCGATTTGTGCAGGAGGAATGAGACCATAATCCCCTCAAGCGTTGCTAAGACTTGGTGGACTCCTTGCCACCCAGGTATGAGGCTATGATAGCTTCTAAAGGCTATTTAACAAAAAATTAGATCATAGTCAATTGGAATTTAAGAAGAAATAGGTTTCTTATACGATATTTTTAAATTTATGAAGAATTTTAGTTTTTCACTGCTATTTCAATGATCGGCATAATATAGACCTTTTTTGTTGTTATTAGCTATATCTTCTAAAAGGTTTATGTTACCTAAATTAAATGATTGTGGTATTGTTAATAATTAAATATACTAAGCTTTTATGAAAAAAAAATTTATGAAAATAGTGTTTGTAACAGGATTTTCCGATCTTAAACGTGCAGGTCGTTGGGCACTGCTATTTCCGTGAACACAGCTGTATATGAAATTACAAAATAAAAACAATGTACTTATAGAATTTTAAATTAAAGACCCATATTTGTGGTGTTTTATGGATTTAGAATTTAAAAATAATTTTTGTAATTTTTATATGATGCATTACATTTTTTTCCAGTTATAAAAATATAAATATAAGAAATTAAACAAAAATAAAAACAAATTAAACAAAATGAAATATATGAAAACGATTTAAATAATTATTAATTTAAGACATTAAGACTTTATTTTTAAGATATATTTAGGTAAAATATATTTTTGTAAAAACCAAGGACATTTATTATTCATCTGTTAAGTGCCATGTTATTGTTTTGTTCATATTTATAACCAACGTTTTATAGCCATTAGGTTGGTTGATCAACGTTAATAAAATTTTGTTTAATGTTATGCAAAAAAAAAAAAATTTATTATTCATAAAATAATTTCTTTATTTTTATACAACAAATGTTGGTTTCTATTAAATATTAAAACGCATATGTTTATAAGAAATTACTGTTTTTCCTTAACAAAATTATTGGTTTCAAAGTCTCAAATTTTTATTTCAAAAATGTATGTATAATTTTTCACCAATTTTGACTACAAATAATTTGTATTTTCTTTTTTACATTTTATCCCAAATCCGAACTAAATCTAATTTTATTTTCAGAACCCACTGAAACCTGTTTAAATTCTCAAAAATAATACAATAATTAAATCAATTAGCCAAGTAACCTTCGATCTCTGTCCAAACCAACACTTTTGTGGGCTTAGAGGGCCACAAAGTTTAAAACGTTCCATTAAAAAACGGGTTTCTACACACTTAAAAAGTTTTATTCAAAAAATTCGTGCTCGACTACACATATGCATTTCCTAGCAAAGCGGCACGGAATGTTTCGTTCTGAACTCACAATCCAATGGGAGGGCAACACACATTCAATACATGGGATGGCGTTGATAATAATACAAATATTGAAAATAATTTAAGTAAGATTCCTTCTTAAAACCAATAACACAACAATGCAAAGCGTAATTCGTTCTGGTAATCCTGGAGATAAAGCCTCGGATGGGGGGAAATTCGAAGATTAGTTCAGGTTCAGGATGGTGGGCGACGGTGTACCGTGTTATTGAAGGAAAGTTCCTGGGAATATTGATCTTTTGTGTATGGGTTAACAGGATTTAGACCGCAGAAAAGGTGCTCTCAACGAAAAGTAATCAACAGTTGTGAAATCTAGCTAAAAAGTACACACAGACAATAGACGAAAGGGGGATCCCTCTCTCTCTGGAAAAATGTGGTCTAAATCCGTCTTGCATGCTATTTCAAAAAGTTTATCATCTCGATGATCTTGTTGCGATTGGCGTGCATGTAGGCCTTGGTGTGCCAGAGCATATTGATTAGCTTCTGGTCGTTCTTCTCGTCCATGGCAATGTCCTCGCTCAGCTGAGGATTGAAGCGGTAGTAGGGTATGCCAATGGTGCTGCACCAGGCGCGAGCGCGGTCCACCACTCGGCCATCGGAGCAGGTGGCCTGATCCACCAGGAGGTTGCCTAGGGAATAAAATATGTTACAGGATATATTATATAAATTTCCATTAAGAAATCTCACCAATGGTGGATATTCCGTAGGCCAGCTTGGCCGTATCCCATATGCTCTCCGGTCGGAAGACATCGATATCCTTTAGCTCCGTCACCGGTATGTGACCCGTGCCCAGCGACATCACCACGGACACGGGTATGGCCTCTGCCTCGCGTCCAGCACTGCGCAGCGCCATGTTATACTCGTGTATCTCGGTCATGGCATCCAAAGTGGGGTTATTGGCAATCAAGCCACCGTCCAGGAAGCGTCCAAAGGCTCGGAAATACGAGGGAGCTGCCCCTGTGGCACGGGCGGCACGCCACACCAGCTGCTCCTGCGGTGAGGGGGGAGGAACGCGGCGGTTATCTGCAAAATAAGGGGATATATTAGAAACTTCTGGGAATTTATTGTGAATTAATTCAAGACTGTAATTGACTTTAATCTTGACTGGTTTTTATGAGCTGAGCTGTTTTAATTTAAAGCAGTGACTGCATTCATGACTCAGTGGTAGTTTATAGACTCGTAAACTTGGCACTCCAGTTAATTACCCTTTTTTAATGACCCCAAGTACTCAATTTCTACTCACTTATGGAAGTCACGATGCCCAGAATGTCGCTGGCGCTCGTATAGTTCCTAAATAGATGCAGATCGACGGGCTTTCGGTCCGCCATCACACCGGTGACCATTATCTTTGGATGCTTGATGTCCGTCATCACATTGAACTCGCCCAGATTGTCCTTCAGAATGGCCTCAAAGAAGTCGCTGTTGTAGGGCCGCGAGCCCACGAAGCACTGCTCCTTCATGCGCAGATACAAGCCCATGCACTGGCGCATCGTCTTGCCACAGCCCAAGGCGAGTGCGAGAATTCCTCCCGTACTTGTGCCGGCAATCCAATCGAACATGTGAATAATGGGCGTGCGTGACAGCTTCTCGATTTCGAGGAGCATTTGAACCAAGACCAATCCGCGGATGCCACCGCCATCTAGGCAGAGCAGGCGGCCACGTCCATAGGGCTTATCGCCGATTTCCATGCCAATGGGCGAGGTGGGCGATGCCAAGTGCTCCGGACTGGCCTGGGCCGAGGGCGGAGTGGCCGCAGCACTGCCGCTGGCCAGACTGCCCGACGAGGTGTCCTTCTTCAGCTCGTCGGCATTCACCTTGGTGGTGAACATGCCCAGTAGGGCGTCCATGATGCTCTGTCCTTTTAGCTCCTTTTCAGTGTCGACCACAACGGGCATCCTTAAAAAAGGAGAATGCTATTTACATTTTTAGACATCATCTTGAGTACTCACTGTGGCGGTGGTGGCTTCTCCATCACTCCATTGGCCGCTGCCCCCAGGAACCCACCCAACACCTGGCGACTTGTGGTGGCCAGCATTGTCTCGATGTGCTCACGCTGCTCCACGGATTCGGGGGCCTCCGGCGGAATGCCATTGTAGTTGCCCTTGGCATTGCATCCTGGCGGACACTTGGAACCCGTATCGGTGCACCGCTTGGCCCCCACCGAGTGCAGGATGTAGAGGATCTCGTCCTCCTTGTTGCCGCTGGCATCGTTGCCCACCATATGACGCGGGCTCTTGCCATCCTTGTTCTTCAGATTGATGTCACACCCGAACACCACCAGGCACTGCACAATCGGCACCAGCTTCTTCTCAATGGCAATGTGCAGCGCCGAGTTGCCCTCCTTGTCCAACACGTCGATCTCCGCATCGTGGGCCAACAGCGTGACGACGCACTCGAACCGATTCCTTGCGACCATCACGTGCAGGGCCGTGCGTCCGTCAAAGTTGGTCGAGTTGACGTCGCATCCCTCCATGATGAGCGCGTGCAGGGTCTCGCGGGAGGAGCACCAGTGCAGCGGTGTGCCGCCATACTTCATGTCCTGCGTGTAGAGCTTGCTCGCATTGGTGCGCAGAAACGAGGCCACCGATGTGGGTGCCGATGTTTTGTAGAGCTTGGTGATGTTCTTGGCATTGAGATTGACATCGGCGCCGGCCAGGAGCAAAGCCTTTACGCACTCCGGCTTGTCTGTGACACAGGCCACATGCAGCGGCGTATAGCCATCCGAGTTGAGGTGGTTCAGGTTCACGGTGCTCTTTTCAATGATTAGCTTTAGGGAGAAAATCAAGTTAAATATAGTCCTTTAGTGGTGCGATGTCCCGGCTTACATTGATAATCTCCTTGGTGGTGCTGGCGGCATAGTGGTACACGGAATTGCTGTTGATGTCCAGGTGCTCCAGCTTGCTCAGGGGCAGCAGGACCTTCACCATCTCCATGTGACCCTGCTTGATGGCCAGCTGAAAGGGCGACATCAGGGAGGTGGGATCGGCACTCTCCACGCACTGCAAAACCTTTGGATTGCTTATGTAGTCCACCAGGTTGAAGTAGGCAATCAAGTGGGCCAGCGACCAGGAGGGATTCTCCGCCAGGGTATCGCAGGTCTTTTGCAAGCCATTTACATTGTAGTACTAGGGATAATTGTTGTTATAATTGAGTAAATCCCAAATAAACCAAGTTTAGGTACCTCTTTGACTATGCTGACGAACACGGGCAGCCGCTGGAGGAAGGCATTGAAGCGTTCCTCGGCCTCTGACTGAACTGGCGAGCGGTAGAGGCTGAAGGATGTGGTATTCGAGTCCGAGGTGGGTCGTTGTAGTACAATCTCGTACACCGCCCGCTTATTGTCGTTGCTGTTGAAGGGCGGTGCAAATAAAACCATGGCGTCATCTCGGGCGAGGACTTGCAGCGTGCCCAGGGACTCGCTCTTGATCTCCAACACCTTGTTGGCCGGCTGATCGCCGCCCAGCAAACGCTGAAGAACTGCAAAGGGGAGAGGCACATTGAGTCATTGGGTAAGAAGAAATCAAACGGGAGATTAGACGGCGAGACTTTCGGGGGACTAGACTACAAAACAACACAAAACACGGAGATGGTAGTGGAACTACTAAGCTAGTACCGAAGCCAGAGGCCAAAGTTCCAAAGGCCAGCCAAGCCATGATGCTGTCAACGGATGCTGCTTGAACTTTGCACCCTTATGTGCGGATGAGATGCTTGCTGAGATTACTGGCTATGTGGATGCGGTGAACCTGATGACAGGGAAATAAGAGGCAATTAGGTTTACACAGGGTGGACGTGGGTGGCGTGAGTTGGCGGCTGCCAAGAAATCAATAGTACACATCACACACGTCGGATGAGCGGTACATGGCATCGCTCATTGGCCAATCGGGAGCGGACAGCTAACCCCAGCGCCAGATCTCATTCTGATTATGCGCCATTGTCCACCGAGCACTTTCTTTCCCCCCATTTTCCGTGCTTTCCCGTTTTCCTTCACTGTAATCACTGAACGATGACGATGACTGTCATTTGAGAGCGACAATCTATGTGTGTCCTATGATGTTCAGTTATTCAATTTTCCTTTTCAAAATGTACAAAGCGAGGCGCAATTCGGCGAAGTAAAACAACAAAAAAAGAAAATACTGCCAACTGACAACTTGTGGATTGCTTGGTAAACACTTCTCTCAGCTGACCATTGAACATTTTACTGCTCTCCTCCTTGGCTTTCTTATCGCGCAATTGCCGTACAATTAGCTTTAAAATTCACTGTGGAAATAAAAAACTTTAACTTTTATTGGCGCCAGTGTGACCCAACTCTGTGCTATCACGAAATACAGCAAACTTTTGCACACAAGTAATAATCGATAAGACCAATTGTTATCGGAATAAAGCGGTGTTTTCAAATTATATTTGTTTATTTAAATATTTTTTTTAGGTTTTATTTGTTTTATATGTAGTACGAATTCCAGAAGTTTGTAATTTTCTAAATTGTTTTACAAAGTTTTTAATTAAGAATATTTGTAATGTTTTATTAAAGAAAAACAAATCAAAAATTAAAACAAAATTAAATTAAAACCAATAACAATTTAAACTATGTATTTACTAATGAATTTTAAACATTGTTATTTAAATGGCTATTTATTTACTTTTAACAATACCGGAAATGAGAAATCAATTTCCACCCCGATAACGATAGCCCTAATTAACGATTGTTACGCCTAGTGCATCGGTATCGGTCCAGCTCTAGTTCTCAAAATTTTGTTAGAATTAATACCGGATTCCATTTGTTTGCCGTTGAAAACGTCAAGAGTCGAAATTTAGTCCAGTGGTTAGTTAGTACACATCCGCTAAATTCCACGTAACCACTTAGGAGACGAACCACCGCCTGGCTGCCGCTCTTGATGCGCTCGCTGGACGCCTGCAGGGATTGAGGCGACAATTGAAATTGCTGCAACTGCAGTTAACGGGAGAGGAGGATAAGCGCAGGTAAGTAGAGGGGTCAGACAGGTGGCCAGCGAGGGACGGGTGGGATGGTGGCTGTATGCGGGGGCGGCAACTGCAACTGCTGGCTACTGACACCGCCCTGTGTGGGTGGTGGTGCTGCAGGAGGCTAGGGCGACCCCCCCAAGGGCACGGTCCCGAAACGGTGGTGGCGTAAGTCGCGACGCAGCTACCTGTGCCCTTCTAATCTGGCAAGCGACGCTTTTACAGTGTCTCTGCCTGTTCGGTTACGGTTACTGCCGCCGTGATTCACCCACGATTGTCCAGCAGCAGCAACAATGCCAATAATAACAAACACACAGCAGCAGCCCCCAACCACCTGACGTAATTATGCGCGTGCTCTGACCGCAACTACATCGAATTCGGTTCTGCGGCTTCACAGGTACGCAGGCCACCGCCGACCATCGATAGGATGCAGAACCAGCCCAGCCCACAGTTGCCCTGCAAGGGCATCCTGAAGACATCGCGCAGCTTCGACAAGTCCGGAGCCAGGTAAGCCGTCTCTAAAGTGTTATAAGCCACCTTAAATTACACACATTTCTTTCTGCGACTGAAAGTTTTCGCAAAAGTGCCAAGTTTGATGAGCTAAACGTGCTGCAGACGTTCCATCCGGCCGACAAGGACTATGGACACATGAAGATCGATGAGCCTAAAACGCCATACAACTACACGGAGGCCTACAATGACAACAGGGATGAGCTGGACACGGAGCTACTCGTGGAGAAGTAAGAGTGGAGTCCCGCAAACAGGTTGTCATAGCTCGAAAAGAAGGGTTAATAGGGCTGAGTTACCCAAGAGAGGGCTTTCAGAAAATGATTGCCACCTAGCATATTCCAAATAAGGATTTAAAATTCAAAGTTAACTGCAGATATGAAGCATGTTAAATTTAAGTACGATTATTATCTCCAATTAATGCGTAATATTTTTGGCTTGAATTACTTAAGTAATTAACAATGTTCTATGAGTTATGACAGCCTTGTGCCAATACAATAGACAGACTTCTAAATTATACAACTATTTATAGACTTCGGATCGCGGCCAATATACCACCGTCTGCGGAGAGCATTGAAGACGACGGCTCCTCGGGCGACGATCAGCCACTGAGCGAGGAGGAGCGACGTAAGTGCCACTTAGATTCCACTGATTACCCAGATACAAAACACTTGAATTGCAGAACGGCGAATCGAATTCGAGCAGCGTCGCAAGGCCCACTATCGCGAGTTCGAGGCCGTCACACTCGCCCGGAAGCTGATCCAGGAGGAGGACGACGACGAGGATGATGACGATGACGCCAGAACTTCGGATAGTCGGCCCTCGGGCTCGGCCTCCACCTCGGGGCACTTTACGAGCAGTTTGGCGAAAAAATCACCTGCCACCTCCCCGTCAGCCAGTGCCAGTCTGAACATGGATCTGGAGCCGTCGATTAACTAGGAGCAGCACCACGTTACCCACGTGACCCATCAATCAATCACTCACCAATGTTTGCGAGGGCAGCTCTTCCGAAACGATATCAAGTGCACAGAGTGAAGGAGTACTCGTGATTTATTGAATTTAGCCAGAACTAACACACAAAATCAAACCGTCGCAAAGGAGTTGCTCATCGTCGAGTAGTGAACGCATGAAATTACTTGTTGCAAATTGTTTTACGTGGACGGTGGGCGGAGGATCTATTGTACGACATCAAATATACATAACCGTATGCGTCTCGGCCGTAGCTGACTGTTGCAAAATGTAGTTAACCAAGTGTTTTATATATGGATACACACGCGCCTATTTTAGTCCAAGTCTCCCTTCCGTTTGCATTTAATTTCAAAGTGAATGAATGGATGGATGGATGCGTAAGTGCCACAAGGAGGGAGCTTCATTTTTGGCCTTACCCTTAGTTATTTATTAATACGATATAATGATACTATGATTACTATTAAGTTTTAGCCATCGAATGCGAACGTTTCAATAAAGCGAACCCAACCCCATTGAAAAGTCGTCTCGGGCGTAGTTCTTCTCGTCGCGAGTATTCAAAACTTGCCGTTTATTTAGATTCCTCTTTTCATATTAGTTATACATCGTAGTGTGTAAGTTAGGGGGTTGTTTCTTTTGCTGGTCGTAGTAGTTTGGTAAAGTCTGAGAGTTTTGTGGCCGCCGGCCACTCTTTCCCTCATCCAGCCTCCAAGGCAGGCACTAAGTCCGCGGCTTCGCGTACAGCAGGCAAAGGCATCCTCATATTATTGCCAGTGGTGGCTTGCTCTGGCCCCAAGTGCATCGTCCGTGGATCTTGAAGGGAGGGCACTCGTACTAGGGGGGCACTGGCAAGCCAGCGTAGCTGGCGGACTGAGAAGCCGACCTTGAGGGGCTGCAGGGGGAACACTTTGGGGGTGGGCCCTTTGATTTTTCTATCCTTGGTTGTGATTGGCAATTCGAACTCACAGATCTCGGTAAGATCTCTTGTATAACTAACTTAATTACGGGGTCATTGACAGGTTTTTTATAATTTGCTCGTTTTAACAATATCGTTGTAGTATATATATACGTGAACATATATATATGTGCATATAGAATAGATATAAGCAAAAAGCATGCAAACTCAAACAGTAAAAACATTGAGATTCCTGGGCGGGCAGCTCCAAAGGTCGATCGTTTTACAATTTACAAATAATCTTGGGACGACTTCCGCCTCCCTCCGACCTTGAGCTAACAGTCGCCTCGCCAGGATCTGCTGATAATAAATAGATTAGATTAGTAGTGCGGCTTAAGTCTAGAACAAGGTTCAATCTCATTATCAGTTTCCGTCTTGGGTCGCATCGTCGTATCCATTTCATTTGCTAGTTCAACAGTTTAACAATCATCTTAGAATCTAGTCTATATGGGGTTTCTGCTTTCTTTCCGCTCTGCTATCTTAGCCATACTATATGCACATGCTCCAAATATGTGTATATAGTATGGGTACATAGAGAATATCGTTTGCGGTGGGTCACCGCCTGCATTGTCATCGCTGCGAAATGGAAGAGGGCTCAGTTCAATAGATCTGGAATCCCTCACCGCTTCGGATGATGACAAATGCGAAAGATGACTCATTGGATGGCATCACCCCTGATTTTTGTAGTATTGCATTCACCTAACATGGGTTCGTTTCGTAATATATGTATATATATGGCGTCGTTAGTGGTTCTTTTAGGATTAGTATAACAATTGCATATATCCTAAATATATATATATAAATTGGTTCGTTAGTGATTCGTTTTAGTAACATATACATGATCGTTTTCAGTATTATTATGATGAAGTGGGTTCCATTGAATTATTTGCTGTTATATATATTGTGTTTCCTCCAACTTGCCGCCCATCTTAGGCCCACATGTGCTGGGTGCCAGGTGGCACCTTGTAGCTGGGATAGCCATTGTTCAGCTGATGCTTGGCGAAGAAGGTGGTGTAGTCCTGGGGGAAGGAATATCATTTATACTAAGAACACTTTTTATGGAGGAGCTTATCTAATCCTACCCGGTTAACTCTCCTGGGACGGCAGACGGGGCCCAACGCCAACTGGCGACGCTCCTCGTTCTCGCGAGCCGCAGCCTCCTTGTATTCCGGTGGTGGCCATTTCAAATCTCCGCGCAATTTGCTGCCTCCTGGTAATAGATTCAGAAAATAGGAAAATTAGTAAATTAAATTAAATTTTATTTAACTTTTCAACCCAACTCACCCTGATAGCTGACGGCGGCAGGCTGCGAAGTATAAACTGGCGCTGGCTGCTGGCTAACGGGTGCCTCCTTGCGGAGGGTGATGATTCCAGGACTGGCGCCGCGGTAGGCACCCGACTGCTGCTGCTGCTGCTGATCGGTCTGATCCTGCGAGTAGGACAGCTGGCCAAGCTGCTGCTGTGGCTGCGAATAAGAATTGTACGGGGGTTGAGCATAGGTCGAGCCACCGTTTTGCTGTGGGTAAAAGGATGGCTGCTGTTGCTGCTGTTGGTACGGTGAGGTCTGGTACGATGGCTGCTGTTGCTGGTTCCACTGTGGCTGCTGCTGCTGCTGGTAGGGAGCCTGAGTCTGAGGCTGAGCCTGCGACTGAGGCTGCTGCCACTGTGGAGCAGGTTGCTGCTGCTGCCACTGGGGAGCAGGCTGTTGCTGCTGCTGCGGTGGCTGTTGCTGGTAGCCATCGTAAGACGGAGCACCGTACTGCTGCTGCTGCTGCTCGATCGGAGGTTCAGGTGTTTCGGGTGGTGCGAGTGCATGGTGGTGTCATGGTTTTCGATCACAGGTTATGGTTTGAGTACATAGATTTATGGTGCGTTGGGGAGGTGCATACACATTGGATGTAGACGGAGAGATAGAGAGTATGTTGGAAATCGAGAATAGATAGACAGAAGACCTTAGTTAGAGGTGGGTGGTTTAGTTTCGATTTAAGTGTTGATTAGTGTTTGGATAAGTTCGTTTTTTTTTGGCGCAGTTTACAGCTGAAAGTGGCAAGAGAGAGAAGCGAAAGCAGTGGGTTAAGCCAATGGGTTAAGTAAGTTCTATGCATAAATAAACAGGGTTTAGTAAAGCTCTATGCGTGCATTAGGTTAGTTAGTATACAGATACTAATAATACTATCTCAAAAGATATACAAAGAGATACTAATATTACTTGAATATCAAGTAGATGAACGACTAAAAATGATTTTATCTATAAAATAATACTTTGAGTAATACAAATATAATGGATATTAAGTAATTACCATATTAAAAACTATCTTCTTTAAATTTTCTTTTATTTTTTGTATGCTTAATTTGCCTGTTTCGTAATATAAAAATATTTACCAAAGAAGTTTCAATATATTTTTAAAGATCACGTTTCTTTTTAAGGGACTTAAATAATTATAAATAATTTTATTTGAAATTCCAAATAACTTAAAAATCGTCTTAGTTGTCAAAACTTATTCAAATGTAATTTTAAAACATATAAGTAATTACTTTCTGATCAAAATCAATCCGAAACTAAATCAAAACCTTTAAGAAAATCCTCTATATATAATTTAAAATAAAGTATTAAATGTGGTTAATGAATTTCTAACTCTGAATCGTTAGTAAATGTACAAGAAAAGAGTGTAGGATCCAAGTTTGTGCCTAACGTAGTAGAAATTTAGTTAAAGCAAAGGGAAAGAAGGTTAGTAAGTGTCTAAAGTAAAAGGAAGAGGGAAAAGAAGTTCAACTGGAGACAGAGATGGGCCGTGCAATATCTAGCCACTTATCGCGTTGCCAAAAGCCAAGTTCAAGAGCGTATCCATTCCGGCCAAGACGGTACCTGCTGATAGCTCGGCTGGTGCTGCTGCTGCTGCTGGAACGGGGGATAAGCTCCTCCCGTTGGGGCAGCTCCTCCGATGTTATAATCACTGTGCGACTTGGCCTGCGGAGCACCAATATGCTTCCAGCCGCCGCCCACGTTGTTAGCCGCCTGGAGCGCCGGCTCCTGCGGATAGCTGGCCTGTGGATAGTTGCCATAGCCATTCGAATCGGAGGCAGGAGCTGGAGCTGGAGCCTGCACCGGCACCGATACGGGTGCGGCTACGGGCTCCCTCGAGCGCTGCCGATTGAACTGGGCCTGGGTATACTGCACGGGCTGATGATGCGGTTGCTCCTGGCTGGGATAGCTATCGGGAACGTGGGCATTCTGCGGCGGATAGTAGTTGTTCGTGGTGGCGGGGCGGGGCTGGACGTTGTTATAAATGGGACCCTGCAAGTTGTCAGTGCGGTGTGGTTAGGGGGATGGTGTTTGGATGTGGCTTTCGTGGCTGGAATGCTATTGCTATGTACAGATGCACGCCTCACCGATTGAGACGCAAATTTCGGACACAATTATATTTACACATCACCGGGGGACGACACACAACTCTACTATATATATATACAGTATTTACTATATACTATTTGCTATTTACTATATACAGTTCATTGGTGGAAAATTTGCGGTGTCGAAAAGGTTTAATTACCTGAGCTGGGGCAGCAGCTGGCTGCGGCGCGGAGGCGGCACTGGCCTGGGGATAGTAACCGCCGGAGCCTGGGGCCGGGCTCTGTGTCTGCGGCTGGGGGGTGAACTCCCGGATGATCCGCTCCTCAGAGGCCGGGGGCCAGGCCACGCGCTTGTAGCCTGTTTACAAAGAAATGAGCCACACAAAAGGTAACGATAAATACTCGGAATTCTTGAACAACTGCAAACTGCAGCTGCCGTGCAACAACAATATTCAACATTCAACAAAATGCGGCCAAAATGTGGGCGTCACGGGGCAACCTTGGACACAGCTAGTGCAAACAATTTGAAAATGATTTAAGCCAATTAAAATTATAGCCACCACACAGTGGCCAGTTTCTGCAAATCATATGTCTAAAATTAGATGGTGCGAACAAGTCGAAAGCCAAGAATTTGACATTACTCATGATGACGATGGGTTGGTTGCTCCCAATCAGCACACTTTGGCAACATGTTGCCTCGTCCGCTGCATTGGCAACATCACCAACACCAACATCACCAACAACAACACCAACAACAGCTAGTGGTTAAATGGGATACGCTTTTAGTGTGGTCTTTACCCTCCAGATTCTTGTAGTTCTCGTTGATGATCTTCCACTGTGCGACCATGGTTATATATCGCTATATCTCTCGCTGTCCCGATTGGGGCTTTGCGTAAGAATAAAAATATTCTCGTATAGATATCAAAAATAACAAATACACGTATATAAACGCGATGTATATGTTGCTATTTTTCTTTATTTTGCGGCTATTTTTTGACTTGCTCGCAACGCAACGCAGAAATTGGGAAAGTCGAGAGCGTTATATAATCCTCAAGGTGCAATCAATTGATTTCTGAGATTCGAGATTCGTGATAGGAGACTCTCGGGGAACACCACGGTATTATGATTTCTTTTTTGCAAATCGGCGCGCGTTTCGTTGATCTTTCGGGGGGGTTTTGTATGGATCGATAATCGTTGAAAATTGGGGAATTCAAAATTGTTTTCGGCTTTTCGGTAACGCGGCGTAATGATTTTTTATTTGTTGATTCGATTTGATTTGATTCGATTTGATTTGCGTTCGTTTTTGCCCAATTTGAATTTCTATTTCTATTTTCTATTTGCTAATTCGTTGATCGTTCGCGCTGCGATATGTTTGCCTTCGATGTATGCTACTAAGTGAAATTATTCGGGTTCGAGATGGCCGAGATACAGAAAAAATACATACAACCCACACACTCGGCGGGCGGGCGAGCGATTTCGTCGATCTTCGTCGATGAGCTAAGAGATCTTTGAGATCTTTGAGATCTCAAAAAAGAAGCACAGAGAGTGGGAGAGTGGAGGAAAAAGTGCGAGGAGGAAAAGTCGGAGACTACCGAGGGTCCATCCGCTAACGAGGTTGATCTTGGTCTTTGGGCCTTCATCATCATCATCGTCCCGAGAGCGGGATCCTGGCCCACTTTTCCGCATTGTTTACACCTTCGATTTTCTTGATTTGTGGGCCGCACCTTGAAATACCATCAACCCACCGATCGTGCCCACTCGCTCACTCGCGGCAGCAGCCGATCTCAAGGTGTTTGCCACCTCAGCCATCTATATATATATATAGATATAGGTTTCGCATATTTGCGGATCTTTGCCCAGATCTATATAGCGATGGTCTTTATTGTTCTGGCTGTCTGACTGGCCTTCCTGGCGTGGCCTGGCCCCCGCCTCCCATTTGTCTTGTGGATCCAATCGCCTCCTCGTGGGATCACACCAAGAACTAACTATCTATCATCCATCTTGTGGCTCTGGCGGATTTAGTACGTGACTCAAGGGGTGGTGGTGGCTAAATTTAAACGGCTGTCATCTTCAGGCGAACTAAAACAAATCTGTTTTTAAACGTATTCACACAGGTGTACGACAAAAGTTGGCTCATTAAAATTATTAGCAAAATTGTAACTCATAGCCGTACAATTATCTGGTATAATAGGTACACGCTACTCTGGCCTGCTCGTTAGCCACGCAACAAATTCGCTTTGAGGGCCGCCAAACGTCACAGATAAATAGTACAAAAGACATTTTGGGTTTTTATTTTTGGGGCCAGTCATACATTTGGCACATGCCTAGCCGATATTGATCTTTGCATAAATATATAAACCAGAAAAGAGCTTGTTTTTCAGTTTAAGGGAATTCTAATAATTTTACAAAGTATCTAAAGTGGTTTTTAAAGCCTTCATAAATTGGTTATAAGTAAGAATTGTTCTTATTATTTTTGTTTTGGGTTCTAAATCCTCAAAAGTCTGGTCTGCAAATCTTTATATATTGAACAGTCTGTGTGACATAAGACTGCTCTAAAAGTGAGCAATATAATTTTAAAATAGAAACTTGTGATCTACCAATAAAACGAAGAAGATGAATGAGCAGGGAATGGAAAGTGTATATAAACACATACATATATCTTCCATAACAACGTCTGCTAAGCAGGAAAACAAAAACGAAAATTTTGGTTAAAATTTTTTGCAAACTTTGCGGGGTAAGAATCTTTTGGAGGAGATCCCTGACTCAAAAATTCAAGTCCTTAGCCAAGTGATTCTGATTCAACAACACCCACAGACTCACATTTAGTAGAGACAACATTTGGGTAAATTTTCAGATAAAGAAACACAGGGAAACATAGGAAATCTTTCAGCGGGAAATCCCACGAACCTTCAATGCCCAGATAGGGACGTGGCGATACATTGTCGAATGAACGATTCACGTTGAAATCCCGCTGCACCTCGTCGAAGGAAGCCAGCGATCGGAACTTGTGCTGCTCGGCCGCCGAGTCCTGACTTGGGAACTCGAAGGGTGAAGGCTGGGCTGTTAGACGCGGGGTGGCCGGCGGAGTGGCTGCTAGCATAGAGGAGGATGCCGACATACTCTGCTGCAGTGGCTCCGTGGCGGTCTTCACCAGTAGTCCAATGTTGTGGCCATCCAGCTGCGGCACATGGGTGAATTTCGGTGTGAGATTCACCGGCGATGGGGAAGTTTTACCCGGCACAGGATTCAGGCCGAAGGGTGAGCTGGCTCGCTGTGGTGCTTCTATGAGGGGAGCGGGATACTTGCGCGAGGGCAACGGACTGGGCGAACGACTTCTCTCCCAGGTGATTTCCTTATCTCGCAGGCTGGCTTTTGGCAGCAGCGGCAACGGCGGCGGAGGAGGTGGTGGCGGTGGCGATGGCGGCGGAGAGTCCGGAGCTGGAGTGGTTACTATCTCCACAAAACTACGCTGGCGCTGCAGCTTTTCGGCGGGGGCTGAGGTCTTCTCTGCAGTCGACTGGGCGTCCTCCCAGGAGATTTGTCTGGAGATGTAGGGACTGCGGATCTCATAGGTGGCCTTGTAGTTCTCCAGAGGTTCGTTGTGCAGATTGGCAATGCGCCATTGATCCGCCTTGTTGAGTTTGGCCCAATTGTTGGGTGAACAGCGCATCTCATCGCAGCAGGGGCAGTAGATGGAGGAGAAGGCTTCATGGGCACAGGATGGGGGCTCCTGATCCGTATCTTTAGATAGATCTTGGTTGGATTTACTTTTGTCTAAGTCCTCTTTACTTTCACCTAGCTCTGTTATGGATGTTAGTTCGAGTTTTCCTTCTTCAGCCTCTTTGCCATCTCCGAACTCACTTTTGGCAGGTGCTTCCTCTTTGCCTTCCTTTTTCACCAGCTTTGGCAGCAGTTCCTTTTTAGTTAGTTCTCCTTGTACTGCCTTGGTACCTTCTCTTAAACCCTTTTTGGCCAGCTGCTCCTCAATGGCTTTCCTTAGCTCCGTCTTGGGTGTCACCTCTCGAGCGTCCTTCTCCTTTTTGGCCACCTGCTCCTCCTGCCACTCTTCGAACTCCTTTTTGGCCAACTGTTCATAGTTGGCAATTACATCGGATACGTGTCGATATTCCGTGTCCTCGTCCTCGATGATTACGTGTTGGGCTTCAACGGCAGCTGGCGTTGTCCGGAGTTCTACGTGCATGTGCTCCTGCTCCTCCTTAGGTTCCTCCTTTCGCTCCAAAGCCACTGCAATCTTGTGCAGATCCTCCAGAGCCCGTTCCACAATGGGTACGTTCTCGGTGAGGGACTCCTCCTCTTCCTCTGCTTCCTCCTTGGCTTCCTTGGGCAGACTAGCAGGTAGTCCAGCTGCTCGGGTGTATATTTGGCGGAGAATGGCCTGCAGAGGACTTTCCACAGCCAAAATGGGCGACTGTCGGTTGGCGAAGATGTCCCAGGAATCATTACTCCCCGAGCTAATGGGTCTCAGGGGTTGAGCTGGTGCGGGAGGAGGCGGCGGAGTGGGTGGTGGAGGAGTAGCTGGGGGTACGGGTGTGGTTTGAACGCTCCTCTGCAGCGCCTGCTTGGCATTCTCCATGTAGGCGTCGATCTGGAGCAGATGCTCCGCTATGGACTGCTGAATGTGGGCATACTTGGCCTCCAACTGGGCAATCTCCACATGGGCCTCGTGCTGCTTCTCCGTTTCCGTTTCCAGTCTTAAGATGCCACCCTGTCGGCGCGACTGCTTAACCTTGAGCTCCGCTTCTGGGACGGATTTGGTACGCATCACTGGTGGCGGCGGTGGCGGCGGAGGTGGGGTGTAAGTTGAAGGGGAAGGAGTTGAAGTTGAAGTGCTGGGCTGACGCTGGAGCAGCTTGATTCCACTGGTGGCACTCACATAGGTGGGCGCTGGCGACGGCTGGCGCTCCTCCATCTCCTGGTGATCCTGCAGATACGAGCAGGCCTCGTCGTAGATCTGCTGGGCACTTGGACACTTGGGAGCCGGATCGCGAGACGTTTCCACCCGAACGGGCACAATGCGAGTGGTCAGCTCTGGGCCGGCACTGGGACGCGAGATGGCCCCGTTGGTGGCTATTGCCAGAGCCATCTGCTGCTGCTGCTTAATTGCCAGGTTGTCAATTACCGCTCGACCCGCTGTCTTCGCCTGAGTGAGATCTGCGCCAGCTGGGATCGGTGGCAGTGGCACGGCCTCCAAGTCCACCTCGTGTCCGGCGGTGATAGCCGCCTCCTCCTCGCTATCACCCTCGTGGCCATAGGAGATCTTCACCTCGGTGGCCAGCTTGATGCAACGACGCTGCACCTTTGGCTTGGCATTCCTTGGCTTTGGAGGTGGCAGCTCAGGAGCAGTGCCCACTGCCCGCTTGCGGGATCGCCCACGGTCCAGGGAGTAGGCCTGCCGCTTGGGCCGGGGCCGGTAGGGCGTCGCTGGCAAGGGCAGAACGGGAGTTGTGGGTCGCTTGTGGGCCAGCTGTTCGTAGTATTCACATCGCGGAGCCACTAGACCCAAGTCTACATCCGCTGCCTTGGTCTCCGGAGCTGAAAAGCCTTTGGACACGGGAGTGGAAGGAGGAAAAATCTCGGACAGCTCCCGATCTCCACCAGATGCAATTTGAGGCGTCTTGGATCGCTCCTTGGAACGCCCCTCCCTTTGCCGCTGCTCCCTCACCTGCCTGGCGGTGGGTTCTATAATATGCGTGGGATTCTGGAACTTCTCCCTCAGAGCCTCAATACTGTGCGAGGGATAGGCGGACGAAGAGGTGATGTGATTCTGGTCGGGATTAGAGACCACATCCTGCTCCGTCGGTGGCCAGCTATGATCGCGCTTGAGGAGGTGCCGCTTGGTGGCCAAACGATTGATCTTCAGCACCGTGTCCCGATCGATGGTGATGTCCTGCTGGTGGCTGAGGAAGTCCGTCTTGATTTGGTTCAACAGTTGCTGGTGCAGGGCATGATGCAGTGCGGCAGCATCCCCCTCGCCCCGCTGCCGCTGGCGGCTCTGTCTTACGGCGGGATAGAAATCTTTTGTGTGGACCAACAAAAGCCATTTGTTTTATATAAAAAATCATCTGCAAAATAACACACTCGGATTTCTGGACAAGAACGGAAACTGGGACGCAAAGTGGCTCTGTTTGTTTTTTGTTGAATGTTCTACATTGTTTTTTCAGGTTTTGTGTGAAACATAAAATATGCACGCACACAAAACATTGCCTCGAAAAGCTGAAATAATATTTAAATCTTACCGCATTTGGCTTGTTGTTCTTCCTCCTCGACGGCGCGCAGAACGGCCGAGTTGGCCAAGTTCAGGGGTTTTGTGATGTTTTCGTCGACTTCAATCCTGAAAAAGTATCAAAAATGGGAGTATAATTAATAAATGAATGAAAAAGATTTGAAAAATTTAAATACAATTTGAATTTTGCGGTTAAAGCTGCTTGATACCCTGCCTTGCCGATATTATGAAAGCAGTGCGCATTTAGAACTGCTTACACTGCTTGAAAAACAGGTGGATTTTGGAAACTATTTTGATTTTGGTTTTTTTAATTTGCTTAAATGAAGGTTTCCTATTAAATATATATTTTTAAGATGATAACGTTAAATAAAAATAAATATATATGTTTTTATCAAGAACTCTTTCTTAAATATTTCAATATTAAATTGAAAAATATTATTTTCTAATTGGTTTTAAAAACGGTTCCTTATTGTTTTTAATTCTTGTTATTGTGGAAATAAAACCTAAAGAAAGGCACCTCAAATACTCAAAAATTTTCCAGGTCTCTCCATTGTTTACTATTTACAATATTTACAGCTGATGGCTAAGACTTGTTTGCAAACAAAATCAGTCTTTGTGATAATTTAAGATGCGACGTAAAAATAAGGCAAGCTTCTCAGCTCGCAATACGCAATACTGGGGGCATAAATTAATTCTAGCATCCTGCGATGTCCTGGCATTGAAAAGCACTCTGACCCCAAAAGGACTAATCCGTTCCGACAAGCTGCCGCTGGGTTGGCGGGTATAAAAGTGCCTGCCGGTGGCCGCCAGTGCATCACAACCCAACTAGCATCTTGCCAGAAAGCATGTCCCGCTCCTTGATCCACCTGCTAGTGCTGCTCCTCCCGATCCTGGGCCACCTGGATGCGGTGTACAGCAGCGAGAGTATAATGTTCAACAAGTGCGGCGAGGGACTGTCCAACTTAATGATTGACTTGTGCATCAATGGATTTAATACGCACTTTAGTCACAAGCGCGCCTCCTCCAGTGAGTAACAAATAGTTAACAATTATATTTATTATATTTAATTTCTTCTATGGCAGTGACTGATCTGAATCTGTTCGATTATGTGGACAACATGGTGGATTCTAGGAACGAAGAGGTGGCTGTGATCAAACCCCATCATCCCCGACTAAGCTCCCTGATGGCCACCCGCCGTCTCTCCCGGCTAATTGCCGACGAGTGCTGCGCCAAGAAGTGCTCTTTCAGCGAAATTATGGCCTATTGCCACTAAAACATGTGTTTTTACTACAAAATATACCAGCTTATGGCATTTATATTACGTGTACATATATATACTACACAGTATTGTATACTATTGCTCAAATGTGCTGCATTTAAAAATTAATAAAAGTGTTTCAACTCACACCAAAAAAAACGAGATCATGACACTAAACTATTTGGGAAAAAATGAAGAACAGATGTTTATTATTTCGTTTAATTATAATTTTGTTACATAGATATTTTGTTTATTTCAAATGACCACGCTTGTGGCCACTGAGCTATGTAAGCTATGTATGAATATTTTTCCGTTCTTGCAAAAACTTATTATTTGTTTCAGAATATTATACAAATATTTGTAATAAACATCATATTTATATTTAAAGTTGTACACTATATGAATATTTATTATAAATATGATATTTACATTTATGTTTGACAAAGTTTATTTTGAATTGAAAAATGATCAATGCAATAATTGTTTTGAATTATATTCTTATGAATATATTTTAGAAATACATTTCAAATACTCAAGGAATCAAAGAATATATAACAAGAAAAGAATGTATCTTTTGGAATACGCTTGCAGTGGACAAATTTGGTGAATTTTGGTTACTCTTAATGATGCATCAAATTATTTTACAAATTTTAAACAAATACATTTTTTCCAATATTTTATTATTAATATAATTATATACCTATAGTTTATATAATTCAGATTTTAATTGCAAATTCGAATAAATATGAATGTGTTGTTCTCCCAATCATTTGCTTTCTGGCCATAAACATGCCTCCAAAAAAAGACTTCAAATAAGAGGATTCTTGGAAATTGAACGATATAGGTATAATTATTTTAAAGTAATCAACGTTAAAGACTGAAATCGCAATACCCTGACAAGTGTATAGACAGGATCTTAAAATTGTTGTCGATATTCCTAAAGTTTTTAATTCTTAACTACAGGCACAAATATATTAATGATATCTTAGATATTATAATATGTAACATGCTAAGTTTACCTCCTGGTTTTATAAACATAAATAAACAAAGTATTTACGCCATATAAAATTATATTTTCAGCACAGAGTTCATGCCCCTTTTTCACATTTTCTGAATAAAAAGATCAACAAACAATTGTGTTTTACTTTTACTATTTTTAGATGGCAACCTGTTGCATGCTAAGGACGTTAATTGCATAAATTAGCCCGAGCGTCACTCGATGTACTGGCATTGAAAGGACACCCATCGACCCCAAAAGCACTAATCTCTTAGGACAAGTCACTGCTGCTGCGTTGTTTGGTATAAAAACAGAAGTGAGCAGCAGATAGTGCATCACATCCTACCCAGCGTCTTGGCAGAAAGCATTCACCAACCGCGATGTCGCGCTTCATGCTTGCCTTGATCCTGCTGCTGATCCCTTTCTTGGGGCGCTCGGAGACGGAGGCCAGCGGGTCAGTTATGTACAATCAGTGTGGCGATGGACTAATGGAGCTAATGTCGAAGATGTGCAACAATCAGTTCAATGGACATTTCGATGGCAAGCGAGGGGATTGTGAGTAATTACTTTGTAACCAATTAACTCTTAAGAACTTACTTTAGTTTATCACAAAAAAAATATTCATTTATGTTATATTTTAAACTACCATCGATTTCTATGGCTACCGCCAAAAGTATGCAATGCTTTTTTTGAGCTGCATTCCGTGTATTCTATGGTCATTATTTCAAAATCATTGCTGGTTTGGGGGTTTTAGATTTTCACATTCAACAGTCATGAATTTACATGTGACCCCCCTTTACCTCTTTTGCAGTGAATCTTTTCGACTATGTGGACAGCATGGTGGACACTGATGATGCGGCTGGAGCGGTCATCAGGCCCCATCATCCCCGGATGAACTCGCTGATGGCCACCCGGCGCTTATCCCGGTATGTGGCCAAAGAATGCTGCCTGAAGCCCTGCTCCAGGGAGGAAATTAATGCCCATTGCGCCAAAAGCCCACAAAGCGCCTAGGATAACCTTCTATATTATATATTTTTTATACTTTTGCTTATAAAATAAATATGGTTATATATCAACGATTGAGAAGGGACTTAAAACATTTATTGAAAGAATTTTCTAAAGAAAGTTTCAAAAATATTTTGAAATTATTATTGAAAATTGAAATTGAAAAATGTATCTGCTTTCCAAAGGTTTTTTTAAATTAAAAATAAAACAACAAACCAATTTTAAGTTGAAAATATCTATATTTCTAGCATTCCTTACCACCTCACTCCAATTATTTTGTATAAAAACAAATATTTGCACATTATTAGACATTTTTGAGAGTTCGTTTCCAGGAGAAACGAAATTTGATTTTGATTTGAAGCGCAGCAAGTTGGGTGGAAAATTCGCCTAAGGAAAATGTGCATGGCGATTTTGCTTGAAGCTGCCAAAGGAGTGTTGCATGCGGGAGGGTTATCAACTTTAATTATAATTTGCTTGAAATGTTTTGCTCGCCTTAATCCGCCTGAAATGCCTGCTCTGCTTTGGCTTTCAGAGATAACAAACAGAAATATTTAAGACAAGAGAATGTGCCAGCTTGTGACAAACTGTGAGATAAGACCTTTAAGAACGAAGTCCGGAGATAAACACGCCACTTTAATACGTATGCTAAACGAAAGGCAAAGCAATCTGAACTAAATAGAAGCCATTGGGTGTGACACTGACCCCCTCTGACTAAGCATCAACTTTAATTAGTTGATTAATTTCGACTAATCGCAAACATCCTGACAATCTCTCATTTGCCTCAGGCAAATATTTGGCAGAAAATAAATAGAAATTCAATTCGTTGAATTCTGATGACTGAGGCTCGCCAAATATTTTCCGAAATAAGCACTTAATGGCTGAATGGGATTTTGATCAATTCATTGGGGCAATTTTCTAATTATTTTTCAAGGGGTTATTAGTGGTTAATCGGCGATTTCCTTGTGAGTCATGGGATGGGCAGAAAGTCAAGAGATGCATCACACATTTTGGCTAGACGCCTGCCGCTTGTTTGTTGACATTGTTTTAGTTGTTGCCACCAATTGTGTTTCTGTTTCTGTTGCATTAAATTAAGCGCACTGACTCATCCGACCCGCTGACGTTTTAATTTATTTTAAATTTCGTGTTTCACTTGCTCTTACACCCAAAAAAAGGGGGAGAAAATTGACTTAAATGATAAGATAACAGTGTTTTTAGCATAATATGGGGTTATAGCTTCAAAGTTAGGAAAAGTTCTACAGATTGAAGTACCCAAAAATGGTTCGAAAAAAAGATTTCTTAAATTTCCAAAATTTTAATTAAATAATTGAATTAATTTGAAATTTAATAGAAATAAAAGCAAGTACTTTTAGATATTTTTAGGTGGAATTTTAGAAGTTTGTCATCTAAACAGTTCTTTTGATATTCTAGATACAATTGTTTGACCTGATCAGGGTTATTTCCCATAATTTTACTATTTTTAATATTTTTAATAATTCTATAATAAAGATTTTAACAGAAAATACAAATTTATTATTAAAAGTATTACTGATTGGCATTTTAAATCATTTTGATAGGCTTAAATCCACCCAAAACAGTTCATCACCACACTATATATTAATTGAAAACTGGATGACCATCGATATTAATATCAAAAGCTGTATATAAACATAATAAGTTTGCTTTTTTTTGTTTGCATTTTTAAGCTTTTTGCTTATTTCTGTTGCACGCTTGAGTGGCGTTATATAAAAAGCATCTTTCACGTACATTTTGTATGGAAGTTTGAAGTTAGTTGGGCGAAGCCTTGGCTCAGCTGCTGTTTTTCGGGGAAAACTTGCACCCTAATACGGGAAAACACGTTACACACACACACCCACGAGACGCAAAGGCGCGCGCGAAAATGCGTTTGAAAGTTTTTGGGTTTTCAGTTTTCAGTTTTCAGTTGTCAGTTTTGGTTTCTCGTTTTTCAGTGCTCAGCTTTTGCCGCTTTTTGTAATTAAATTTGAAGAGTCTGCTGTTGCACACGTTTTGTCGCACGCATAGTCACCGAATAACTAAAAGCCACTTAAAGTTTTTGCTCACCAGAGCAGAGATGGCTCTATCTGAATCTATCTACTATATAGTTGATGTCGCCGATCGAGTGGCAAGGTGAGTGGCGAGGTGTGTGCGGTGGCCGGTTTTTATTTAAACAACAATTGCAAACAACAATGGCTGAGATAATGTTGTTGCGGCGACAACGCAACAGCCAGCAGCGTCAGCAGCAGCAACAGCTACAAATAAATTCAAGTCTAAAGCATCTTTCGGATACGTGCGTCGTCGTCCGCCGGCGCTGCTTATAAAGCTTTTTGGTAATTACAATTAAACGTCAAAGCATTTAATTGTAGAGCTTGTTTTTGTTTTTATTTCAGTGCCTCTGTCTGTGTCTGCGACAAAAGCAACAAATTGGCAGCATTGCAGCGCCAGTTGCAGTCGCAGTCGCCGCCGCAGCCTCTGTCAACGTTGCGCTGCACTGCACAAAAAGAAAGGGGGTCTACCCCCCTCTGTAATCCTCACTAATTAATGTGTTTTGTGCACCTGTTTTGTGGCACTAGCTTTGGTATCTGTCAAAGCAGAATAAAAGCAAACGTCGGTGGCTTTTGGTGGGGATATAATTTACAAACAAAAATATTATTAATAAATATTTCCACAACTTTTAAGGAGGAAATTTAATATTAAGTAATATTTTTATGTATTTTATTTATTTATACCTAATTAAAAGTGTGTATTTTAGAATTAGTAGGTAAAATAGGGCCAGAGATTTAATAAAACGAGTTATCGAAAAAGAGTTTTCCCTGAATAAAGTTCGCCTTTGTTACCCTTTTCTAATTTAAATATATGATAAATATATGATGAATTTAAAGCTCTTAAATATAAGAGTTCTTAAAGGTTTTACTAATTCAGAAATTAAGAATAAAAACCTTTACAAAGCAATTAATTCCCTAAAAGTAGAGTAAAGATGAATACTTAAGAAAAGAGTATTGTAAACTATTTATTTATATTAATTTAAGTTTAAGCTCTATTTTAACTAACTTATCATAGTAAACTTTCTTATTTAGACCCATCTTCCTACTCTCCTCACTCATGACCCTGAAGAAAACTTAACTCACTTGTTGTCAAGTCCTGCGCTCTGGTCAAGTCGACTAATTAGCAGTATTTGGCTTTTTGTGTGGAAAAGCTAATTTATAAGAAAGATTATTATAAAATTATAACACCCCCAGGGTTACTACTGGCTGGCCATGTAATACAAATTGCGTTGACTAAGCGGAAGGCAAACCGCCAGCCGGGAAACCACTCTCCCTACCGCCCTCCCTTCCTCCGCTGGCCGCTTTCATCTATTTTATGAAATTATGCATTTAAATGTATGATAATCATTTCGCTTCGGCGGAGAGCGTTTTCTTTTCCCGCTAGCTTTTTTTATTAATTCTTTTCTATTTTTTTTTTGCTGGGGTTTTTTTTTTATTACGAGTACTCACCCCTCGGCGCCGAAGGCCTTCAGCTCGCGGTTCAACGTGGCCTTCACGTTCTCCTGGGAATAGAGGCCCATGGGCGAGTTGAACTGCTTGTGCACCAGCTTCCGTTGTGCCATTTTGTTGTTTTTTTTTTCTACTTTTTTTTTTGTATTTGTATGTGTCTTCCTTGGACTGCTTCTTCCTGCGGAATCCTTGGGCTCCGTTTGCTGTTTGAGTTTAGCTTGGTTCCTCCTCGGCTGACTTTTGTTAAGCTAAAGCTCTTCTTCTCCTTCGGATGTCTTCAAAAGTTTTTCGAAAAATATTGTTGATAAGAAATATTTTGAAAAAATTTTCTACTAGACTGCTTGCATCCGCTTATCGTTCTCAGTTCTGAGCCGTTGTTTGATCTTTGCTGTTTTCTGTTTGCTGGCGGTAAGTGGACGGCAAAAGAATCCTAAGCACTTTCCCCTACTTCAGTTGGACTTAATTTTAATCGTTAATTGTCGGTCGTTGTTCGTTCTGTAATTGGAAATGCAAATGCGAAATGGCAGAATGAAATTTAATTCGAACAGAAGTTAATTGAAAGGGCTAAAGCGATGGCAGAGTGATTGTGGGTGTGTTTTGTACAAGAGCCGGGTAATGACTTCCTTTGGAAATTTCATTGCAAAAAAAAATTATTTCGCACTTATAATTGGTTTAAGTAAAGGGGTTCTTAATTTGCATTTATTGTTTACGGTTTTGAATAAGCAATTTATTTAGTTTTAGTATTTATCAGTACACATTTGATATTAGTTTAAATTACAAATAAAATAAATAAAATCCCTTTATAGTTTTCTCTATGCTACTAGTTCCTTGCTTGTTAAAATATTTAATTCTACCGAAATTTACACCTTTGTTTCTATGAAAATGTGAAATTTTGTGCAGTCATTCAATCTGTAATAGTAAATTCTATTGTCAAATGAGAGCTTTAGGTAAATGAAAGGAGGAGAAACTTATATAGAATTAAGTTTCAATGAAAATATCCATAGCAATATTATTATCGGTACATCATTTACCCTTGCCTTTCTTCTTTGACTTTAATGTTTGCCCAAAAATTTAAGGCGAAATTTAATTGTTAGAAGCAGACATTCATTGATTTGCTACTGAAATTCCTGTAATTGGAAACGCGACACGAACCTGAGTGAAAAAATTTTAATTAATTCGGTGCTAGGGATTTCAAGTAGTTAAAGTTTCAACGAATGCTAAAGCTTCTTTAATATTCATTATTTAATTATTTAATCAGCAGTAGCTTAATATTAAATTTAATGTCTATTAACAGCTATTTAAAATCCCTTTTTATTAGTTTAAAAAATATTCTGTTAAGTACAAGCTATAGTAAACCCTTCAAACTATTTATTTGATGTATTGCTTTTAAATTAATTATTAAATTATTTATTTATATTATAAATTATTTCATTATTTAATGAGCTTTAGTTGAATATTCAATTTAATGTCTATAAACAGCTATTTAAAATCCCTCTTAATTTGTTAAAAAAATATTCTGTTAAGTACAAGCTGTAGTAAACCCTTCAAACTATTTACATGATGTCTTTGCTTTTGAAAAACTCCTCTTAATATATTTCCTTCCATTTAATGCCATTTTAAATGCCTTTTATATGTTATTTTTATGAAGCTTGTATAACACACAACTCTCTTTATTTATGAATATATTCAAAATTAATTATAAACACAAAACAAAAACTGGGCAACTCGTAAAACTTTTCTAGCGAGAGCGAAAAATAATTTCACAAATATAATTTCCAGCCTTCGGCAACAAACACTTCAATGTCAACGCTATATACACACATATAGACTCATATATATATATAGCACGTTATTGCTATAAAATGGGATGTCTACATATAGAATTTGTATAATTCAGGTCTTTCAATTATGCACTGGAATCAACGAATTTGCCTGCCCATCTGTGTGGATATATATGATATTCCTGTTCAATTTTACAGCTGTTGCCAAGAAATTACAATTGGGAAATATGCTAGGTAGAACGCGCGTTTAGTATTTATTTTTCCAATTTCCTGGGACACTCACTCACTACTGTCACATTGAGAAATGTATCTTAAACTAATTTGAGCACTGCTCTGCTGGGCAAAACAATATTTTGGGTGTGTGTTGGGGCCATTTGTTGTTTTTGCTATATGTGTTTTGGCTTAAAAATAGCACCAAAGACAACGGCAAAAATATTGAAATGTGCTCAATATTTTTCTTTTCGCCACACTCATATTTTCCACACACACACACAGACACTTGTACACGCCAGATCTCTCATTTTCTCACATATAGTCTGCTCTATTTTGAAATTCCCGCCTTGTGTGTCACCTCAAATAAAATTAGCAGCTGTGAGGAAAAGATATTATTATTATTATTTAGATTTGCGTCATTTCGAGTGGTACACTTGGGGAAAAGTTGTTATAGGAAGGGAAAATATTTGAATATAAAATAAAACATGCTATTTAGGGTCGATTTGATATGAAAATGTTTAAGAAAAAATAGCAAAGACTTAAGAAAGTTTTAATTGAATTTAATTTTAGAGTGAAATTGTTAATTTCCCTATTTTATATATATTTTTAGACATTCTTTTAAATATTTTAATCAACTGAAATCAAATTAATTTCATGGATAATCATTTTATTAGTAATTGAATTTTATTAATCAAAATCCGAACCTTTTGTAGGCAAATTTAAATCTTTTATTGTGTTTAGCATTGATTGATTTAATTTTAAAATTTTTTCCAGTGTAAGAAGAACCCAAGGAGCAATGGAAATTGCAATAAAAGATACTTGAAATAATCGTAATGAAGTATTTTTGTGTTTGTTCGCATTTTATGTGTTTTAATTGAGCAATTGCTGTTGTGTTGCTGCTGCTGTTGTGTTGTTGCTGCTGCTGTTGTGTTGCTGCTGCTGTTGTGTTGCAGCTGCCACAGCTGCTGCCCCCGTAAGCACGCAATATGTGCTGGCCGGGGCCAAGCAACGGAAGCGGACCAGGAATCGCACAAATTAATCAACATTTAATAAAATATTATGCAAATTACACACAAAAGGCAGGAAGGCAGCAGTGGCAGCGGCAGCGGCAACATAAAGAGAGCGCCAGCAGCAACAAGAGCTTGCCACTTGATGTCCCAATTAAAGTTTAACACACAACTCATACACACACACACATACGCTCGCTGGCTGGGGCGCACCCCCGCTCACACAGATACTCGAACACAAACAGGTGCGTGCTGCACTCTGTGTACTTAGCACACGAATTGTAAGAGAATTTGCATAAAAAATTCTCGCAAAAATAATGTTTTAAAAAAAGTAAAATAAAAGTGCAGACGTGTGAGTGTGTGTATATAACCCTCTGCCATATGGCAGCCGTCTCTACGCACACAACTGCAGCAGCCATTTCAATACTCTTTTTCGGGGCCAAAAATGTTCAATTCGGCAATGTGTGTGCGGTTGACCAACGAAATAAATTACGAGCCTCGGGACATGTGTGTACATTTCATTTGGAATCGAGTTGCAAAGCCAAGAGTTCTTCTCTCCGCCGCAATTATATTAACCAATTCATTGGCTCTCTCTCTTTAAAATGGCAGTTACTTGTCGGCCGCAAAAAGAAATACAAGCAGAGTTTGTTTTTAAAATGAAAAAGGCCCGAGGAGCGATTATACTCAATCAGCCGGAATAATAGTCCCAGAGTTTTTTTAATTGAATGGTAAATATTGTGTCTAATAATAGTTATCTTGCAGGCATAATATATATATAGTTTTCAATTGAAAAACAAAAGTAAAAGCATCAGAAAATATACTTCTACATTTAGTAAAGAAAATAGTAATTTGCCTGAAGTAATATCAATAAAATTTTAAACTTTAACAGGTTATTTTTTTATGAATTAGGAACTTGTTTACTTTTGGGTACTGTCTGAGATGTTTTTAAATATTTCTTATGTTTTCTAATTTTCAGCTTTATTTCAAGAACCAGCAAATATTTTTATGTATTTTAATCAATTGAAATCCCAAGAAATTAAATTAATTTTATGGATAGTAATTTTATTCATAATTCAACTAATTATAGAAAATAATAATATATAGTTTTCAATTGAAAAACATAACGTAAACTATTCAAAAATATATTTTTAAATTTATTAATAGTTTGCCTGAAGTAATATTACCTAAATCTTGAACTTTTACAGGTTATTTTATATGAATTAAGAATTTCCTTCATTTTTATTCCATGCTTCTGGGCACTTTCTGAGGAGTCTTCAAATATTTCTCATATTTTTTGTGACTTTTCAAATTATTTCTAGCAACTTTTTAAGCAAATATTTTTGCAGAACAGATCTGCGGGCTACCCACGAGGTTAAATACAACTTAAAGAGATTCCCTTCATAATTGCTTGAGTATTGAGTTTTCGCTTTTGCCCCTAAAGCAAATGGAAATATTATATGCAAAATTCAATTTCTAACTTTTGACGGAAAATACAGGTGAGAGTATGAGAACTTCCCCGAAACCTAATTAACATTTCCCTGGCTCTCGTTCTCCTTCTTGCTTTCGTTCTCGTTCCCGTTCATTTTTCAGTGTCTTTATTTTGGCATCGACATCATTATCATCGTCGTCGTCCCATCGGACTGGCTCCATGGCCATCATGTGTGTGTGTCTTTGTGTGAGGTAGGTGCTCCTATATAAACTATAATCGTGGCTAAATGTGTGCAAGAGTGTGAGGGGGTGTACCGGTGGCACACATATGCATTGAAATCAGGTGCAAATATTGTTAGATTTGCGTCGAGGCGAGAGTCGAGGCATTTCACAAAATCCGTGTGTCGACGCATCTGTGGATCTGTGGATTGCGCATCCGAAAATTCCGCACAGAAACTGGATGAGAGTGAGCTGTTGATTTAGCCAGCCATGTTTTTGCTGATTTAATTATTAACCGAGAGCATTGTGCCACTGAATTTGTTTTAGTTGAAATGCTTGAATATTCCATTTCTATACACAAAGCAAAAATGTGTAAGCAGCTTACGGGAAGTATTATATTGTGACAATGGGACAATGCTTTTAATATGGTAATTGGATAAATAATAAACGTTCAATTTATATTGAAAACAGTTATGTATACATTTTCAATATGTAAAATCTAGATAAAAATGGGAAAATGTTTCTTAAAGTGCACAGAATAATAAGAAACTTGTACTATTATCTTTACTTGCAAAAGGAAATGAATGAAATGAAAAATATATTTACATCTATAGAAAAATTGGTATTAAATGTTGTAACTCTTTTTTACAAGTTTCCTTGAGGATTTATTTTCATCAGAATTCTTTTGTTTGCTGGTTTTTTATTAGTAATTGTACTCATTTTTCTTGTAAGCTTTAACCACTAATAAGCTACACAGAATATAATATACCTAATAATATATAAAAAATTTTAATAGAAACAAAATAAACTGAATTTACCTTACTTCTAAATTTTTTAATTATTTTTTTTATAGTTTGTTAAGCCTTTTCCAAGCTAATTTCAAGAGTTTAAAGAAGCCTTATGCTCTTATTAATATTTTTATACATTAACAAGTTTCAAAATAATACAGAAAATTATCCAATATTCTTAATCTTTAATTATTTAACATTATTACCCTGCCACTAAGCTATAAAGTTAAAGCCTTGTTGGTAAATCTAATTAAATGATGGCAAATATTTATTTTTTCCTGGGTGTAACCCACTTGTTTTGTGCTTTTGAAAATCGGGTGCGGTGTGGGCGGTGGGTTGATGGGTGATGGGTGGGTGGGCGTTGCACCAAAAGTACACTAATATTCGGCGAATAAACACACGCCCAAGAGCCTGCTTAAGTGTAAACACACACTTGCACTGCGCCAAAATGCGTATTTATTCGCTTTTGAATGTGAATGCTTACTTACCGTCTGTTACAATTTGGCGCTGCTTAGCTGCTTAATCCAAAAATAACGCCAGCCAATTGCGAAAGTTCGCCTCCGGAGTGCTTGCTGTTGCTTTGCTTTGCCTTGACCCCGCCCCCCGCCTTCACTTTCGCCCCCCTTAAGCCCCCATTTGCGCCCAGTTTGTTTGCACTTTGCAGCTATGCACTTTGTGCAATTTTTCTATGCGGCAAGCAGCGGTGGCGGCAGCGGCGGGGGGAGGGCGCGTTTGTGCTTTGTTAGCTGGGGGAGAAGCGAGAACGCGTCCGCGTCCGCCGAAAACCGGCGTTTTGTAAGCGCACCATCGGCCAACTGAATTTGAAACTGAAACTGAAAACGAAACAGCAACAGAAACAGAAATGGACGCAGAAACATCCCAAACAGCAGCAACAGCAGCTGGGGAGCAGGAGAAACGCTTGGCTTTACGCAATGATCGAAGGCGGCGCCTTTTGTTTTTGTTATTTTTTCATCATCAGTCTACATTTTCACATCTTTGGCACCGCCGAACAAGAGGAAGAGCCAGCACAGGAATGTATCTGCGGGTGCGAGCGAGTGCGTATCTTCAGATACACAGATACAGATACAATGCGTTACACTGGCGGCCGCAAAAGAGTGCAATGTTCGGGCTAGAAGATGATCGATAGTTTTCGTTTTGAAAGGTTTTAAAGCAGCAGAGATAGGAAGGATCAAGGATGGAATTTCAAATAAATTCAAAAGGCCACTTGACGCCAAATCAAATACAAACTTAATATAAGTAAGGCTTATTATTATATCATAACTGTCTTAGTGATCCATTTCTCTTAAGTAACCGCTCAAAAATTTGCAGTTAGAACCATTTGGGAATTTTAGAACAATCTAAGCGAGAGCCTTACTGATTTTGTTTGCTTAGAAAATATTGCAAATAAAATTGAAATAAAAATAAATATTTCGTTGACTTTTACAGACAGCTGTTGATTTAATAAGAATATTTTACCTTTTAACTTAATTATATTTCCTTTGTAAAGATAATTTAATTTAAGACAAGGTTACAAGGAGACTGTTAATAATTTATTCATTGGGAGAATAAATAAATTCATTTGCTATATATTTTTTTAATAAATATATTTCCAAAAAATGAATAAAAAAAATTCCAATAGAGAAAAGTTCTGTTTTTATTTATGCTTAGGGCTTTTTTGATTAAACAAAATCATATAAAACATTGTCATTTTGGGATTTAAGTCATTGTTAATAAAAAAAAAGGCATTGAATAATCCGCATAAAATTTGAATAAACCGCATTTTAATAGCCAAAAATAAAAAGCTTTTAAATTATAAACCCCCAAAACATATGCTAAAATATTAGCAATTTCAAATAATACACAAAATAACATTGTAATCCCTCAATCGAAAGTTGAATTAATTAAAATAATTCATAAACATAAACCGGCGCCGCTAACGCACTTGGTCATATGGACGAGTGACTTTTATTACCTAATTAATAAGAGCGATGGCATTAAATTAACAAACATTGAAGCACATTTGGCAGGTTTTCAAAAAGATATAGCCAAAGGCAATGGCTAGACACTGACTTGAATGCAAATTAAAGACAGCGAGGGATTAGCAAGCCGAGGGAGAGTTCAAAAGAGATGAGTTTCCGCAGTGATTAATTTGCTTTTAAAGGTGATTCATTTTTCAGGCAACCCACTCTGAGGGGGGGAGGCGGACACCTTTTGCCGCCCGGCAGTGTAAGTTGGCCAGATATTTAGACCGATTCCCAATACCAACACAGACCGACAGCAATAACAGCAAATAGTCAAAGTAGTTTCGACAGAGAAGGAGCGGCGGAAAAAATGGAAATTAAAAAAATATTCGGTCGCCGTCGATGAGCGACGAGATGGAGACAGCGACAGCGACAGCAGCAGCGACCGCGACGGCGACGGCGGCGGCGAAAGATGGATAGATACATTTGTATCTATAGGATCTATATGCAGTTCTTATGGCCCGACATTACAGAATTTTTACTGCCGCGCCCGAGCACGTCTCTAATATTCTATTTTTGAGTGTAGTTCTTGTGTTATCTTTTCTTTTTTATTGTATTTCATTTTCGTTTCGGCTTTCCACGTCCTCGCCGCTCAACGGTATTTCTGCGTTTTCCCCTCGCTTACCTCACTGTTTTTTGAGGAGCGATTTTCTTGTTTTCACGAAAATAGCAAAGAGTCCATAGAGAAAAATCGAGGGGAAAATGGAAAGAAATGCGCTTAAAATGTCATTTAATTGTTTCACTAGCAGACTGCATTTTATATGGCTTTCGCTTTACGTTTTTATTTTGTTGTTTTTAATTTTCGCTGGTTTTTGGTTTTGGGCTTTTTGGGTTTTGGCTTTTGGCTTTCTCGCGGCTGAAGTTGATTTCATTTGCCAGCCTTTTCGGCTTCACTTTTTAATTGTGCTTTAAATGCTAATTAGCTTGTGTGCTGGATGAAAAAGCGCACATATCGGTGCGGTTTCCTTTAATGCATTTTATTTAATTATTTTTTGATGGCGCTCAATGCGGAGTCCGAGTGCGAATTGTGGAGTTTTTCATATATATATAAATATATATATTTTTTTTATTATTTCATATAAGAGAATATTGCTCTTTGTTGTCTTGATGTTTGCGAGTGACACATATTTTTCTGGCATTTATTTTTTTGGGTTATTTTTTTCACGGTGGCGCCTCCGCTGTCCACAAAATTACACAGAGAGAGAGAGAGAGAGAGCACACACAGAGGTAGCTAGCTGCAGCAGCTGCAGCTGCCGAGATACAAAGATACTGAGATACTCAGATACCAGGCGTACCGGGGGACTCGAACTCGGACTCGGAACTCGGATGGGTGATGTGGTGACCACGTTCGCGACCACGGTGCGAATTATTATTGTTACTCGACGCAAGTCGCCGCTGCTGCTGGCCTGCCGCCGACGGTAAAAGTTCGCAAAAGCAGCGAAAAGTTGCCTCTTGCTTTAGTTGCTTTTTTATATATTTATTTTTTTCGTTCATGGAAAATCATCGGAGATGACGATGATCAGGAACATCATGATGATGATGACACCCCACCGCTTCCAATGGGGGCCCTGCCCCAAAAGCCTCCTTACGCCCACACACACACACCCGATTATAAATTAGCCTCGGCCACTGGGCTAATCACGTATTCCTCGGCTATTTTCTATACTGCTGCTCTTTCATACCCACAGCCTCTGCCTCTGCCGGCAAACACTTCAAGCCAAGAAGCGATAAATATTCAGCACAAAAACATTCAGCACTCGGTGCCGCCGAAGCTGTCTGTGCGCTGCTAAACCACCTAATTAACAAGAAAACAACGATTCGATATATGTACTAGATATTTCTCCACCTATGCCACACACACAAAAGAATATTTTTATATGCATGATTTTCTAAATATTGAAAATTTATTTTTGGATTTTTGGAAAGCCATTTGAAAGCAGTTTCCAATGCCCTAACTAACGGGGGAGGCTATGCTCAAAATCTGAAATATTTGGTTCTTTAGGTTTTTAAACTTATTTGTAGCATACTTTTTAGGGTATAAGCTGAGCTTGGTTTATAATAAATTATTATTTAATATTTAAATATTTTTGTCAAGAAAAATATGGCTTCAATTCTAAATGTATGTTTGCATGATTCGTTTTAAGTTGAATTCGAATAGTTCTTAATTTTTACAGCTATTTCTACTTCCTTTTAAACTTTAAACTTACATTTCATGTTGTTAAAGGAAAGAGTCTCATTTGAATATTTTACAATTATATTGTTAATGGTTATTATTATCTGAATTAATATTTAAGTCTTAAAAAATCTGTTAATTATAGTTTCAACTTCAAGAAATCCACACAGTACTTTAATGAGTTTCTTAAAATCTTAACTTTATATTTCCCTTAAAGCCATTTTTGGCCTGCTTTTGGCCCTTAGAAAAATATTTGTTGTACTAACTAACTCAATTTTTACTGTTGCTATTTAAGGCTGTGCATTTTTCTTAGAATACCTAGACAGTAGAAGCTGGAAGTGGTTAGGGAATTCTTATTTTGCAGTTGATTGAAGCGAAACCACAAAAAACCAATGCAAAATAACGCACAATAAGAAATTTTTTGAAATTTAATAAACTTCAAATGTTTTAAAAATATATATTATAAATAAATAATAATTATTATAATCACTTTACCTTTTTATCTTTGTAAATTTGATTTAAATATTTTTTTATTTATTTTGATTAATGTAATAATTTAATTTAATTTATGTTTTAATTATAGTATAAAAAATGGATTTATGGTCTATACAGGAGATATAATGAACTATATTACTTGGAAACATTTATTTAATTTATAAAATGTATTTATAGTTGTGTTGTAGATTTTATCATCAAAAGATTACCAGAAAACCTATAAAAAAACTCATAAATCTCAGGAATAAGTATTAACATTTTTTTCTAGGAAAATTTCAGAGCTGCTTTCAAGGGAAATTCATTAATTTAATATATTTATTACAGATAAATACAATAAAATGAATAATAAAATCGAAACCAGTTAATATTTATTTTTTAGAGTGATTGGCGTAGAGCGGGCGTCTATTGGCGCACGTTTCGATATTTGTTCGGTTTTCTGTTCATTGTTCTGTGGTATATTTAGTTTTCATCTGCTTATATTTTTGGAAATTTGTTTTGCCATCAAGAGCAGAAGCAGGAGAGCGACAACAACTTAATGCTGTTAGTTTGTATTTAGTGAGTGTGTGTCTGGGTGTGTGCGGTTTTCCCCAGAACATTTTGCAGTTTCACAAGTTCACGAGCTTTCAGTGCGCTCAAGCACAACAATTAGTGCATTCAATGTGTTTTTCAGCACCGCTCACCTGTCCTCTCACCTAGCCTTAACCCTTGGATGGCCGTGCACAAAAAGCTTCGCTGCAGAAGAGCACCACCTGACAGGCAACTAAGCTGCCTGTGTATTTCACGCTAGAAAGCCAGCAAAAAATAATATGTTTAATGTTTGTGAATGATTAATGGCACATTAGAATCGAAATTGTTTTTGGTCCGAACCCGTATCCGAATACGAATCCGAATCCGGAACGCAGGAGGAATCGGCGGCACTGCTAAGCGCAGCGGAGCCGTGTGTGTACATTGCTATAATGTGCAAATATTTATATCCCATATCCCCAAGCTCCCCCCTGAACAGGTACATATAAATATATATATATATATTTTTATACATGTACATAGGTATGTGCTCTTGGCTGCCGCCACCTGAGTGGAACAGGTGAGTGTTTATAATGTATCGCATATGCATGGCCAAG